GCCTGAATCCAGAGGCTGAGTTTTGAGTTTGCACCCTCAGTAGTCTCAGGCAGGGGCCATGAGGGCTGAGCTCACACAGAAGCAGAAAACAAACCACAGTTGGAATCAGACTCACATTTTCCAAATGCCTCCAGCCTTGGCAGACGCTACTACATCTATGTTCTCACAGGAACCCACAGAAACCCTCTGAGCCAAGTGGAGTAAGGCTTTTCCATGTTAAATTTTCTCCTATTTATTATTATTATCATTATTTCGGTTCTAGGGCCACACCCAACCATGCTCAGGCTTATTCCTCACTCTGTGTTCAGGGATCACTCCTGGTGGGGCTCAGGATCATAAGAGGTGCCAGAGTTTGGAGATGTCTGAACCCAGGTCAAACACGTGCAAGGCAAGCACCTTACCCACTGTACTCTTTTTTTGAGTCCCTTTCCCCCATTCTGAAGAAAAGAGGCTTGGAGAACTGGACTAGATCACTGAAGAAAACAGCCTTGGAGAGACTGGAGCTTGAATCTCAGTTTCTGACTCATTGTGCTATGATAGTATCATTACTGGAATTCTGGAAAACAATATTCCCTTCCCTAAATTCCTTTCTATCCCGAGGGTCATAATTTCTTTCTTAAAATGATCTCTTTACCTTAAATCTTTGCCCCTTTGTACCAGAGAGGGTAGGTGTTGGCAGTCATTTATAGTTAGCATGAATGATTTTCAGACATTCTCGTGAGAGAGGGGTGATAGAAGTCTCCACAAATATCCCCTCTGGGGAGTTGTGTATTTTGTGACTCTCTCCTTCTCTCCACCTCCCATTTAGGTTTTTTCAATAGGAGCCTCCATAGTGGTGTATTAGTTACAGTGAATGAGCCTCTGGACACCATTATCACCTCAAGACAATAGTTTGCATCAGCATTCACTCTTGGTGTTTTTCATTCTATAAGTGTTGACAAATGGATCCAACACTTAAGTGTACAGAATCGTTTCACTGCACCAAAAATCCTTTGTGCCTCACCTGTCTCTTTTTTTCACAACCCCTGGAGACAAGTGATTTTTTTCTTTGTACTGCATTCATAGTATTTTCCTGTTCCAGAATGTATATCTTTGGAATCATATGATATGTAGATGGAATTCTTTCACTTAATAATAAGTTTTTATGTTTCCTCTGTGTCTTTTTGGGGCTTGAAAACTTACATCTTTTGAGGATTAAATAATACTCCATTGTCTGGATGGATGTATCACAGTTTATCCATTCACCTTCTGAAGAATATCTTTGTTGCTTGAGTTTTGGCAATTATGAATAAAGCTGCTATAAGTAGGCATGTACAAGTTATTTGTGTGTGTGAAGTAAGTTTCCAGCTTATGGAGGTAAACACCAAGAAATGCCACTGCTGGGTCACATGATTAAGAATATTTTTAGTTTTGTTCCCAAACTCTCTTCCTAATTGACTGTACATTGCATCCCCACCGCCATTTCCTATTCCCCCTCATCCTTACCAGCATCGGAATTTTCAGTATTTAGGATTTTGGCCATTGTAATAGATGGGTAGTCTAAGAATACTTTCTGGAAATGAACACAGTGTGCTTTGACCAGAATTTATACAATCACATTTATCTGCAATAGGGAAATGTGGCTTTTATTCTAAGTGCCCATCTAATTTGAAAAGACCAAGTTCTTATTGTTAAGGAGGAGAAGATGGCCATTGGGAGTCAACCAAGGGGTCTCTGCCTTACTATAAGAAAGAAAAGTCCCCTCAAACCAGTTTAAGCACTAGGGAGACAATTTGCTGGGTGGATTCAGGAGACTTCATGGTGCCCCAAGGAGAGAAACATGGAAGGACCTCTCAGTGTAGGATCTGGAAAGTCATTAGGAATCAGGGCTGTTTTTCTGCCTTTATGTGGCATCACGGATCTCACTGACTTCCTCCTCCTCCTCCTCCCCTCCTTCTCCTCTTCCTCCTCCTCCTCCTCCTCCTCCTCCTCCTCCTCCTCCCCTTCTCCTCCTCCTCCTCCTCCTCCTTCCCCCCTCCCCTCCCCTCCCCTCTTCCTCTTCTTCTTTTCTGTTTTTGACAATAGTTCAGAGCTTTTTCCTGCCTCTTCACTCAAGGATCACTCCTCCCAACAGGCTTGGGGGGACCATATGTGGTGCCAGGGATCCAGCCTGTGTCGGCCATGTGCAAGACTAGTGTCCTACCCATTGTACCTGCTGTACTACCACTCTGGCCTCACTGACTTCTTTCTAGATACCTGTCCTGTTCTCATCTCTTTGCATATGATTCAAAAAACAGTTCAGCTTAAGTCCTTCTGATTAGTTAGCTTCCTAGATCCCAAGTTCAAATTCCTTAGAGAGAACATCTGATTGACCTGACTTGGGTCATGAAACCACTCTTGTCCTGTCAGCTGTGACTAGAACAAACAAGGTGGCAAGGGTACGCTCCAGAGGGGAAGAAGGCAGTTGTCAGGGAAATGGGTATCATGCACTCAGAAGACTAATCCAGAGTTACCCAGGATGTGGACTTAGATCTCTTAGGTTAATCCTGTCCCAGGGTTTTGCAAACCATCATTCATTTAGGTAAACAAACATTGTGCTGCTTCTTTATGCTAGGTAAATGTTAGCCTGTTAGCCATGGGTCTTATCTTCTAGGAATTAAAAAAAAAAATCTCTTTGGAATTGGTTCATGTCCTTAACCTTTATTATTTTTGGGTGATGTCATAGATCCATAAATTAATTATATCTTAGTTTTCCTCTTCAGGTTTCCAAGTGGGGATCAAGGACCTTTATATTTGGGGGAGGGAGGTGGTCCACACTCATTGGTGCTCAGGGCCCATACCTGGCTCTGTGCTCAGGGGATACATCTGGCACTGGGCAGGAGAGGAGGGGGAGGGGGACAGGACCGTAGGCCATGCTCGGGTTCCAGCCATTGTTGTGGCTACAACTGCATGCAACACAAATGCCTTCATCTCTGTCCCATCTCTGGCCTGGGATCAAGGACACATGGTTCCCCATCTAAGTCCTTGGGAACTGCACGTGTGTCCATGTTCCCTCCTCTTGTGTGTGTCTCTCCTGTAAAAGTATGTTACGTTCTTTAGTTGATTCAAATATGATTCCCTGCCTTAATTTCCCAAATTCCTTAAATTTCCTTATTCCTCTCCAACATGGGCAGTCTCTGGTCCCAAGCACAAAAGTATCTCAAGTTCATATCCAGGGAGGAGAATGTTAGGTTTCAAGTCCACATAGGAAAGGTACCTGGAAGTTTTTGGACCTCTTGAGCACAGAAGCTGTTAGCAGTAACATAGGGACTGTGCATTGAGATCGCTCTGTGCCTAGTACCAAGCTAAATCCCTTGTGTACATTGTCTCTTACATCTAATTTTATAGCAGTGGTGAGTGGTAGGCATTATTTTCCTCATTTTATAGATTACGAATCAATGAGCTCAGAGAGAATAGGCTACTTGCCCAAGGTCACACAGCATATGGATAGTGGAGGTGGGTTTCAAAACCAGATCCTCCTCCCAACAGAGGCTTCTGAGAACAGTCCTAGTTGCCTCGTGCAAGCTCTCTTGTGAGTATCGCTTTGGCATCTTTGGAGCTTCCATTCCAAATGTGTTTGTTTACTCTTGCCATGTTGCAGTCACTTTAATTCCACACAGTAGGTGGAGCTGGCCAAGATGAGGCCATGGTATGTGAATGGAGCACTATTCTGGGCCCCCTTGTAGGCCAACTCAGTTGCTCGCCCATTGTTTGATTCTGGCCAAGGCCCTCACCCCTTGGCCTCAATTTCTTTACTGGTGGCCCTGAAAACCCTTATATCCTACCATTACCATCTTAACTGGGCCTCTCTTGTGCACGCATGTGTGTGTGTGTGTGTGTGTGTGTGTGTGTGTGTGTGTGTGTGTAGAGCAAAACTCAGGCCACACACAGAGGCCACACCCTACCACTGAGCCACATCCCCAGCTCACTTAATTATGTTTCATAATGATTTCCTGAACTTACCCCAGGCACATCCTTTCCACCACCAGTGTCTCCAGTATCCCCTCCATCCCACCCTGACCCCTACCTCTATGGCAGATGATTTCCCCCATACTCTCTCTGTACATTGGGGCATTATAGTTTGCAGTACAGATACTGAGAGGCTGTCACATTTGGTCCTTCATCTACATTTGGCACACATCTCCTGTCCTGATCAATCCATCCAACTATCATTGACGCAGTGATCCCTTCTCTATTCCAGATGCCTTCTCCCCCAGCTCATGAGGCAGGCTTCCAAGCATGGAACAATATTCCTGGCCCTTGTTCTACTGTCCTTGGATGTCAGTCTCATATTATGTCATTTTATGTTCCACAAATGTTTCTCGGCGGTTTCCATCTAAGCTGGACCCTTTGACCTGTCCCATCTTCTGACCATCCCCAACAGTCTGAGGTTTGCTTCTTAGCCCCCAGACTTTAAGGCTGCCTGATATTGTCTCAGAGATGCTGAGCATAAGCCCTCCTCCCTCTCTCATCTGACACCCAATATTGTGTCCTCTTTACCCTCACATGGTTGTTTATGGCACCTGGGATGTAATGGGCATCTAGAGAAGTCCACCTTCTTGCCCCTGGTCTCTTGCGAAGTGATTTGTACATACATCAGATCATTTAACCACTCCCTGGGTCGCGCCATACTCCCACCCCCATTCTGAGGACAAGGCAACCCCAGGTTCAGAGAAGGGAACAAATTATTCAAGATTGACAGACTACTGAATGCCTGAGCTGAGATGCCAACCTGGTCTGGCATGCTCCGCCACACCCCAGGGTTTTGTCTCACACCCTCGACTCAGCCAGTAGCTGGGGTCTGTGGTTTTCCTATGTATATAACTTACTCTATGGATTTTGTGTGGTCTGTTTACATTTGGTGGGAGTGCATGGAGGAGTCCCTCAGGACAGCGGAAACTCACAGTAAGTGTTTGGGAGGATGGTCTTGTGGCTCCTTCATAGAGGAGCCGTGCTGGACCTCTGTCCATGTTTGCTTGCAGATCCTGGAAGGAGACCAGGCTATCCTGCAGAGAATAAAGAAGGCTGTGCGTGCCATCCACAGCTCTGGCCTTGGTGAGTGAGCCCATGCGAGACCCCGCTTTGCCTGGGGACCCACTCCTGACCTAGGCTGGAGCAAACTCCAAGCTCTCTTCCTTGCCTTCCCAGGCCACGTAGAAAATGAGGAGCAATACCGAGAGGCTGTGGAGTCATTAGGCAACAGCCACTTGTCCCAGAACAGCCACGAACTGTCCACGGGCTTCCTGAACTTAGCTGTGTTCACCCGTGAAGTGGCTGCACTCTTCAAAAACCTGGTAAGACCCCTGCTCCCAGCGCCCCCAACCCCCACTCCCCTTGTTCCTAGATGACCCTGTGGGCTTAGCTTATTTTCTATCCTTCCTCCAGCTTGCTCATGATCTCTAGTCTCCCTTTGACCTTTGACCTGTGACCTGACACCCCTTTCCAGTCCTGACCTTGTTTTCTTCCCATCCCCTTTGTCTCTCCCTCTCTGCTTTTTCTTGTTCTTCTCTGTGGTGAGTACCTGGGAGCAGAGGTGAGCCTCTCAGTAGGGGGTTAGCCCCAGGCAGGAGGGGAAAGCTCCTTGGAGGAGGCTGGGTAGAAGAGAGGTGGATTTAGGGGTTCTTCTCTTGGTGCTTTTCCTCCACTCTCTTCTTTTGGATCTGGTGGATCTTTTATGTTGCTGGGATTGCACCCGGGACCTCACACATGCAAGGCATTTCTCTACCACTGGGCCACACCCCAGCCCCTTGACTGCATCTGTTGTGTCTTAAAGGCCTGGGACTCGCGTTGCCTCAGCTGGCCTCTTTGTTCCTGTGGCTCCTGGCCTTGTGCCCTTCTTGAGGGTATCCTCGATGGTTGCTTCCTCACATTGTCCAAGTCCCTCCTTCTGGTCATAGCCAGATACAAGCACCCAGGTTCTTAGCATTTCCTGAATGTTTGTACTCACTGACCCTTGGTGCCATGCTGTAGGGGATTGGCTTTACTCGATGCTTTCCCCCATTCCCAAAGCCAAGATTCAGCTTTCTCCACTCAAGGGTTAATACTTGAGGGCAAGAGAAATAGCACAGCAAGTAGGGCATTTGCCTTGCTTGTGACATTGAACTTGGGTTCAATCCCTGGCACCACATATGGTCCTCTAATCTCTCCAGGAATGATCCCTGAGACAGAGCCAAGAGTAAGCCCTGAGCATAGCCAGATGTGCTCCCCATTCCCCCACACCCTACCCCAAAAGAGTAATGCTGAGAGACACATGTTAATGCAAGCAAAATAGTTTATTCAGGAGCCAGGAACCTGAAAAGATGTGCAATTTGTCCCAAAACGTCATCTCCCTCTTAAACTGGGACTTGGACTTTATTTAGGGAAAAGTGGGTGTTGGGGCCATAGGAAGAGAGGAAGGCCCTGTATGACACTGTCAGTGGATTCAGGTTGGTGGCCTGCTTCTGGGAAGCACTTTGAAATATCAGTCTGTCTCCAGGAGCCTGAAGAGATCGCTCCTTGGTCTGTGACTGGTTCCTGGCTGAACATTAAACACATGATGTCTGAAAACCCAACTATACTTTTCAAAAAAAGAAGGTCAGGACCCAAGAGTTGTGTGTGTGAGAGGCTGTAAGGACTATCTGTGGCAGCCAAGATGGGGTTCCTGCTGTCTTTTTTTATCTTTATATCTTTTTTTTCCTTATCACTTTTTTTTGAGGGGGTCACATTCGACGATGCTCAGGGGACCATATGGGATGCTGGGAATCGAACCCGAGTTTTCCACGTGCAAGGCAAATGCCCTAGCCACTGTACTGTTGCTCCAGCCCCCACTTTATTACTTTTTAGGCTGAGAAATTAGGACATAAGGTTAAACAATTTGACCGCCATCAGACAACCTGACTGGAACTCAGGATATCTGACTCCAGCACCAGCCTGGCTGGTTCTGCCCCAGGAAAGCCCCTCTCCTCTGGGCTCTGTAGCTTAGAGATCACTTAACGTGGCTCCAATCTGTCCTCCCTGCACTGCCTCTGAGAGGCAGTTAGCTTGGTAGTGAGGCACCCACACCTCGAGCTTATACTGGGGTCTTGACCCTTCATCCTGCTGCTCACTGTGTGTGTGACCCTGAGCCTGGTCACTCCCTCTGCCTGAGCCCCAGGTCTTGCCTCTTAAAATAGGCGTAATAATAATAATGATGCCCGCCCCATAGTTATGGTTGCAATGGCGATGAAGCAAGGGAAGTGCCATGAGTAAGCAGGCGCTCAGTAAGTCAGCTAATGTTGCCATCTGTCATTATTCCTTCTCTTCACCTAGCTCTGTTGCGCACACAGCCTGTGTGGAGGCACACAGCACACTGAAGTTCAGTAGAATTAGTGACCACCTTTGTCTTGACCTCTGCTCCCCATTTCAGCCAAGTTGCTGTTTCTTGAGAGTTGACTCTGCTGGGTGTTGAACCACTGACTGGTGACACAGGATGGTTGAGCTCAGAAAATCATAGACTGGGGATCAGCAAGCATGGTGGGCAAGGTACTTGCCTTGTACACAGTTGACTCTGGTTCACTCCCAGGCGTGGTCCCCTGAGCATGGCCAGGAGTGGTGCCTGACCAAGAGCCAGGAGTGAGCCCTAAGTAGTGGCCCCTCAAAAGAGCAAATGAAAAAGAACCATAATCTTGTGGGGGAGGCAGTCTAGTGGGGGAGGCATAGTCTGAGGTGTGGAACCATACCAGTACTATGGCACAAATGAGGGACATGGTAGCCTGTACCAGAAGCCAAGTGCTGCCATGATTCAGAAAAAGGTGAGGTCAGCATAGGCTGACCTATGGAGCAGGAGTGATCAAGAAAGATTCTTGGGAGTGAGGGGTATACCTTGACAGTCTGAAATGCTAAGTCGTTTGGGGCTGCCCAGTGACAGAAACTCAGCTCAAACTAGTTTCTTCTTTCTTTCTTTCTTTCTTTCTTTCTTTCTTTCTTTCTTTCTTTCTTTTCTTTCTGTCTGTCCTTCCTTCCTTTCTTCCTTCCTCCCTCCCTCCCTCCCTCCCTTCCTCTCTCTTTCTTTCTTTCTTTCTTTCTTTCTTTCTTTTCTTTCTGTTTGTCCTTCCTTTCTTCCTTCCTCCCTCCCTCCCTTCCTCTTTCTTTCTTTCTTTCTTTCTTTCTTTCTTTCTTTCTTTCTTTCTTTCTCCACACATGTCAATGCTCAGGGGTTACTCCAGGTTATGCACTCAGGAATCACTCCTGCTAGTGCTGGGTGGACCATACAGGATGCCAGGGATTGAATCCAGGTCAATGTGTGCAAGGCAAGTGCCTTACCCTCTGTACTATCTCTCCAGCCCCAAACTTGGTTAATTTTTAAAAGGAATTAATGGGCCCTGTAATGAGAAGTCCAGGGGTGTCACTGGCGTTAGGCTCCTCCTCTTTCTCTTCATTATTTTTTGTCTTCACTCTTTGGGTAAAGGGGACCTGCCACCCAGATTCAAATCTTGCCAGAAGAAAGACCCGGTGTTTTTCTTGGGTCTGTCTTTCTTTCCAGAGTCCCAGGAAAGGGGCTGGGTGGCTGGCTGGGCTCACATTCCTAACAGGGCCAGAGCTGGAGAAAAGGGCTTCTGGGGCCAACTCCAACTCCTGTGTTTACCCCATGGAACTGCCAGGAAAGGGTTCCCCTATGTAATCAGGGGAGACAGGGGCTCGCAGGACACAAGCAGCAGAGGGACACAACAGGTAACATCCTGGAGTTAGAGAGAGAGGTGAGGGACAACTGGTCCTGACCTGGGCTGTTCCTAGAGCCCAGACTGATAAGAGGAGGGGCCACCACTTTACCGGGAGTGGACTGCACCCCTGCTCTGTCCTTCCTTCTGTCTCCCATCTGTCCCCTGCCCCCTTCAACATACTTCTGCCTTTGTCTCCTGCTGCTTCACGGTAGCCTGTACCCCACGGGTACTGGGTCCTGTCCTGCAGGTGGACAGAAGGACACTCACTAAAGGTGACGGGGCTGGGGGGGGGGTTCTGCTTTTTCCAGGTTCAGAACCTGAACAACATTGTCTCCTTCCCCCTGGACAGTATGTTGAAGGGACAGCTGAGGGACGGGCGACAGGTGAGTCTCTGTGCGGGGAACAGTATGCCCAGGGTAGTGGGAGGGAAGGGGGTGGACAGGAGAGCATAGGGGTGGCAGGGCTGGGCTTGGGCCAGAGAGCAAGGGAGGGGCGGTCACGGGGAGAGGGCTGGCCCCCTCTTCTGAACCCCTGGAAGGACACGGGAGCCTGACCTCCTGTCCTCCGGGCGCCTGTGGGGAATAGCTCACATAATCCAGCAACAGCCCATTGCAGTGCTTCCATGGGTACCGTTGCCCCCATTTTGCACCCGAGGAAACTGAGACTCAGAGATTTGGGGAACCTGCAATGGTTTCTGAAGCTAGTCCACAGAGGGGCCAGTGTGAAACTGGGGCTGCCCTTTTTGAGCCTGGAGCAGTTAGAGCTTGGAAGAAGGCTCAGAATAATCTTCCTGGGAAGTCTTCCCCAGAAGGCCTGGGGGAGGAGCTGTTCTCTCCCCAGAGGCTTCTCTCCTTGCCCCAAGCTGGACCCCAGCCTGGGAACCACCCAAACCAGACAGACAGCTTTTACCCTCGGCTGACGGGATACCTTGAAAACAGGGCTGACCCAAAGGGTTGAGCTGGATAAGCCACAGACAGTCTAGGCCAGGGGCCAAGGACGTGGCTCAGCAGGAGAGTACAGGACTTGGCACCCCACGCCCGCATGCATGCACGCCTATGCCGGGAACCAGCAGGTCTCGCTCGCTTGCTGTGTGTCCTGCAATAGACTTCTTCGCCTCTCTCTGCACATGTCTTCCTGTTCATAATGACGATCTCATACCAGCTGGGCATCAGTGGGTAAAGTTGGGTAAAGTTGGTGGAGAAAACTGACCATCCTCCTACCACCCTCGCCCTCATGGTAGTCTCTCTTTTTTTTTTTTTTTTTGCTTTTTGGGTCACACCCAGCGAGGCTCAGGGGTTACTCCTGGCTCTGCACTCAGGAATCGCTCTTGGCAGTGCTGGGGGACCATATGGAGTGCTGGGGATCGAACCTGGGTCGGCCGCGTGGAAAGCAAATACCCTACCTGTTGTACTATATAGCTCCAGCCCTCTATCTTTTGAGGGATGGGGCAGACCTAGGATATTCTCCTCATACCTTGAGCCCATCAAACCCCCATGCTGCACAGCGTGGTCAGGTGGAAGGAGGACCTGTAGCAGAGAAAGCTCATTCTGGAGAAGTGGGCTCATTTGGGAGTATTTGGGGGCCGGCAAGGATGGAGGTAGGGTTGGATTCATGTGACTCTGATCAGCACAGGGGAGCATGTGAGCAGTGTCCCCTTAAAGGTGGCTAAATAGCTGTTGACCCCAGATCCCAAGCACTGCTGTTTTTCAAACTGTCCTTTTGAAACCTTTTGCAGGATTCCAAAAAGCAGTTGGAGAAGGCATGGAAGGACTACGAAGCCAAAATGTGAGTGGCTGTGGCCAGAGCACGGTGTCCAGGACAGAGACTGTATGTGGGAGCAGGAGGGTGGATTGTGGAGAGAAATGAGGTGTTGCCAGAACATGCTGCCCGAGGTACAAAGCCTCTTGCTCTCCAAAGGCATTTGGGGGTTGGTTTATGCCCCAGATCTGACCAGAATCTGGCAGCTAAGCCCCGAGAGACACCCAAAGGGTGTGAAGAGTCTAAGGCTCTCAGAGACCTGTTTGCTTGGTGGTTGCTGACATGGGCAGTGACAGAAAACAGCTTTCACTTCAGAACATGGATGTGCAGGTGACTCAGCCCTCCTGCTCACCCAGCCCAGGGAGGGAGGGAGCAGTGTCCCAATGAACATGGAAGGCTCAGAGACGTTAAGTCACATGACAAGGCCACACAGTGAGGCAGAGACAGCATTGGGGTCCATGTTCCTTGATCCTTTCTGCAACGTGTTATGTCTAAATACTTCATGGCAGAAGGGAGTTGCCTCTTGTGTGTACCAGATAATTAATTCATCCTCTCCCCAACTGCGGGGACACCCTGAGGACAGGAATGTCCTTCACAGAGACTGCTGGTGGTTTGCCTTCTGGAGGGCACACAGGTCCATGGTGCAGCCCTCTGCCAGGGCTCAGCCAGACCTCACCTTGTTTGCTTTGCTCACCTTTATAAACTGTTTGCTCTTGTATTTTGTGAAAACAATACACATTCCTTATGAAAAACTTAGAAAATAGTAAGTAAAAGAGTAAAAATTTGTCATCATTTGTGGAAGACTAGGAGCATGTAGGGAATATCTATTTTGTGCCTGGCTGGCTTTGGGACAAAGGGGGCGGCCTCCCAAGCAGTGCTCAGAGGACCTGGGGCAACTCCCAGTGGGCCTAAGACAGTTTCTGGGTATAGCAGTGTTGAGCTACCAGGGCCACATGTGGTGGTGCAGGGAGATGGAGACAAAAGGTGTCTGGAGCATAGAGCTCCAGTCCTTGAGCATGGTGCTCCAGGACTTTGCTTTATCACCCTGGCCCTCAGAAAAAATTTTACACACTCTGGGGTAGTACTCTTTTTGTTTTGATACTCTGGGGTAGTACTCTTTTTGTTTTGTTACTTCGTGTGTGCGTGTGTGTGTGTGTGTGTGCGCGTGCGCGTGCACATGCGTGTGTGTATGTATGTATGTTTGTTTGGGGCATACCCCTGAGACTCCAGTCTTACTCCTGGCTCTGTGCTCATTCCTGGCAGTGTTTGGGAGGCCATATGTGGTGCTCGGGATTGAGCCAGATTAGCCATTACTTGCTGTAGCCATTACTAGCTCTCTGGCCTCTGTTTTTTGTTTATTTAGCTTTCTTTCTTTTCTCTTCCTTGTTCTCTTGGTGGGAGTGGCAGGGGGAGGGAACCACACCCACTAGTGCTTAGGCTCTGCCCCCAGCTCTGTGCTCAGGCATCGATGGCAGAGTCACTCAAGGGAACATGCAGTTTTGGGATCAAACCCAGGACCCTCACATGTGGAGCATATGCTTAGCCCACTGAGCTCTCTCTCTGACCCACAATTTTAAAATTTTTGTTACTGATTCATAAGTGATATATAATATTCTGAAATTTCAGGGGGTTAGCTCTTCACCTCTAAGTGTGTGTAATATCACACCTGCCACCGAAGTGAGTTGTAAAGTGAGGTTTTTTTTTTTTGGGGGGGGGGAGAGGGGCACACTCAGAAGTATTCAGGGCTTACTTCTGGCTCTGTGCTTCGGGGTTACTCCTGATGATGCTCAGGAGACCATATTTAATATCAAGGGTTGAAACAGGGTAGGTCATATACAAGGCAAGTACTTTAATTCCTATACTGCATCTCTGGCCCCAGCACTTCATTTTATTTTTATTTTGCAATGCCAGGGATCCAGCCCAGGTTCTCACATATGCAAGGCAATCGTTTTACCACTGAGCTACAGTCCCTGCCTTAGCACTGTTGTTTTATTAATTGAAAATATGGGGTGAGGGGCCAGAGTGATATTACAGTAGGTAGGGAATTTGCCTTGCATGCAACTGAGCTAGTTTGATCCCTGGCATTTGATATAGACCCCAGACCACCGTCAGGAGTAATTCCTGAGTGAAGAACCAGGAGTAATCCCTGAACATCCCTAAGTGTCACCCCCCTCCCCAAATGCAGGGTGAAGGGCTGGAGAGTGAGTATAGTGGGTAGATATTTGCTTTGTATGTGGCCAATTCTGATTTGATCTCCAGCATCATATGTGTTCTGCTGAGCCCCACCAGGAGTAAGCGCTGAGCACCCTCCACCATCCCCCTCACCCCAAAGTGGATGAGACTACCAGAAACTAGGAGGAACGGCCTTGATCTCCAAGCTGGAGTATTACTATCTTCTCGGTCCTTTTTTTTTTTTTGGTTTGTTTGAAGGCCACACTGGCAGTGCTCAGGGCTTACTCATGTCTCGCGGTTCTGTACTTAGTGATCACTCCTGGTGGGGTGCAGGGGACCAAATGGGGATCGGGAATTGAACCCAGCTTGGCTGTGGAAGGCAAGCACCCTTCTCACTGTACTCTCTCTACAGCCCTCAGTCATTTTTTTAATATATGAAGCAATATTTTTACCTAAATGAAATCATAATCATCATACTATTTTATAAGTTTCACTATAAAATACGTCACAGCCATCTTATTCACATCATTTCATTTGTTTTTTTTTGGGGGGAGGGGGTGGGCACACCTGCAAGTGCTTAGGGGCTACACTGGCTCAGTTTTTAGGGATTGCACCCAGCAGTGCTCAAGGACCGGGATTGGACATACTCCAGTCCTTTGAACTCCATTACATATCCTTATGCAGCATTACTTCAGTGGGTGCAGAGTGCCCACATATGCATATTCCGTATATATTTCTCCCCCCCACCCCCCTCATCACTGGGAACGCTTCTGGGAACTCATCTTTGTTCCCATCTGGAGATTTTTCCTACGATCATCTCCACGAAGTAGAGCCTGCAGCTTTATTGTTCCTGTGGCTTCCTGGGCCAGGAGACCTCCTTCCCTCCAGAGGGAGTTTCTCCTACTCCCTGGCTGTTGCTGGAAATCCTGGAGAAGGGGTGGGAGTACCACAGGGTGTGGCCACCTGCTCTCCTCAGAGGTCCTGGGAGGGGTGATGGACAGATACCTATTTTATCCCCTGCACCCAACCTGGGTTTGATCCCTGACATCTTATTGGTCCCTTGAGCCAACCAGGAGTAATCCCAGATTGAAGAGCCCGGAATAAGTTCTGAGCACTGTCAGGTGTGGCCCAAATAGAAAAAGGAAAAAAAAGAGAGAGAAAGGAAAGGAAAGGGGTAAAGCTACTGAGTGAGAGGCATTGCCAGGCCTGGACTAGGACCCAGGACTTCTGAGTCCCGTGCTCTCTGCCACACGGCATGGCTTCCTGGCCCCTGCCATGCAGGGTTGAGCCACGTGTCCTGGCACAAGCTTCTGTGTACATTCCCTCTTGGAAGGACTCCAGAAACAGCTAGAAATAGCAAGCCAAGAGTTGCTGTGTAATTCTACCTTGTTCTTACACAAGTCTGTCTGGGCAGCGCTGGATAGCATCTGTCTGATAGCAGCAGGTGTCTGGCATCCTGGTTGGTCCTAGGAGGAGGGTTTCTCTCTCCTTTTGGGGTTGCTGAGTGAGAAAGGCCCACCAGACCCTACACAGGGGCTGAGTCTGTCTTGACTATTCCATATGACACTGATGTTCCACGTGTTTCTTGCCTGAGAAATGGATCCAGTGGTCACTGTGGTGTTGGTGTGAAGATTTGTGTGATGGACATAAAGTGTATCTTTCTGAGCCAGAACTGGGGCCAAGACACCAGAAGGGATTAAGAGGAAGGCATCCAGATCTTGGCTTCTATCATTTCTGCCTGCCAGCTTAGGGCCCTGGGCCACTACTTTCCTTTTCCATATACCAACTTCATCACCTTTAAGATAATCCCCAAGAGCCAGAGAGATAGTAAGGTGCTTACCTTGCACGTGAGCAACCAGGGTTTAATTCCCAGCATCCTATATGGTCTCCCAAGAATCACCAGATGTAACCCCTGAGCATTGCCGAGTGTGGCCTAAAATCCAAAAATCAATAAAATAATCCTGGAATGGAGTTGTAAATATAGGACAGCAGGTAGGTGCTTGAATGCAGCTGACCCAGGTTTGATCCCAGCCACTGCATATGGTTCCCTGATCCTGAGACACTGCTGGGTATTACCCCAAAACAGAAAGAAAAAGAGATGAAGGGGGAGAGAGAGAGAGAGAGAGAGAGAGAGAGAGAGAGAGAGAGAGAGAGAGAGAGAGAGAGAAGAGTCTCGCCCCTGACTTTGATATAACATAGTGGATTGGAACCTGAGTGGCAGGTACCAGGGCTCTAGCATCGGGAATGCCTGGATCAGAGCCTACTCGCCAGCTTAGCATCTGTGATGCAGGAAAATGACTAGTGCCTGAAGCTCTTCAGCTGTAAGCTGGCGGGTAACAATTCCTACCTCATGGGGTTAGTGTGTGAATGGTCTCCAGGCCTTAGTGTGGTCCTTAGTGTGTGACCACACTAATGGGCCTTAGTGTGTGAATGGTCTCCAGGCCACCTCTGTTTTCATATCACCAATCATTATGATTATAATTGACAGTATCATTAACATCACCATAATCCTGTTATTTATTGAGAGCTTAACATAGCTTAAGGACTATAACCTGTATGTTTCCCATCTAAAGAGGAGGAAGTGCTTGTCTCATTTTGAATCGGGAAACCGAAGCTTAGAGATGTTTGAAGGGGATCTTGAGAGAGCTCAAGCGCCAGGGCCCATGCAGGCATGTGCAAGGCCTTAGAGTCAAGTCCTGGTGCCCCCATCTCCCCCCGCCTCCCTAAAGCTCAGGGAACCCTGAACACTGGTGACAAAGGATATTTATAAAGGTTAAGTAAGTGAAGCATCTACCATTCAAATCCAAAATTCATGTTTTTAGCCATTGCTCTATATTGTTGCTGCTTTAGTGTCCATTCACTTAGAGCAGATGCCTTTCCATGTCAGTATTATAAAGCTTCTTCATCCCTTTTAATAGCTGCACAGTATTTCTATGTATGGCCATGGCATACTTTATTTAACCATTTCCTGCAAAAAGACACTTTGTTTACTTGGCATTTTTTCACTATTGAGAGATCTGGCAACACTGTATCTGAGAGATTCCCCTGCCCTGCTAGCCTCTCTACCTACTTAGTTTACCTCGCTCCTTTGAAAGCTGCACAGTTCACTATTGCCAACAACTATGTCACTCAGCCATCAGGCCAGAGATCAGGGCTGATATTTTGGGGGAATCTGAACATGAGTAACAAATGCAGGTTTGATGCACAGAACCTGTCCCCACCCCAACAAACCCCACTATACTGCCATGAACTCCCACTTGGAATGGAAAATAACTCCCGAGAAAATGAAAATCAGAACTCACCAAGGGCTGAGGAGCTAGCTCAGAAGGCTGGGCACATGCTTTGTCTATAGTAGACCCAGGTTCACTCTGGGCACCACACAATCCCCCAAGCACTGCCAGGGGTGACCCCTGAGCTCTATGGTGGGAATAGTCCTGGGCACTGCTTGTATGGCCCCAGAATCAATCACTCATATTTCATCCAGCGGAACTCAGGACTTACTCCTGGTTCTGTACCCAGGGATCTCTCCTGGAAGGGCTCAGGGGTCCACAGACGTGTGGAGATCTAACCTAGGTTGGACGTGTGCAAGGCATGTGCCCTACCCGCTGTACTATCGCTCCGGCCCCAGAAATATTTCTGGATAGCTGGGAGCTGCCCTGGTACCTCACTAATAAAGATCAGGGTTGCTGCTCACCATCCCCCAGGGAAGCCCCCCCTCAGAAAACTATTCCTTTAAAATTTTGTACCAAGATTGAGAAACTACTCCCTGGGTTTCTGGGGTCAGCTGCTGTGTAAATGCTATCCCAGAAGTCTTACCTCAGCGTGGCCTGAAACAGGACGAGGTCAGAGATGCTCTGACAGCCGCACAGTCCAGGCCATTGCTTCTTCCACCCACAGAGAGGAAACCTGGGTTCCAAGGAGCCTGTGATGGTGGGACCAGAGAAAACACAGCGGGGAGGGTGTTTGCCTCATATGTGGCTAACCTGGGTTCCATCCCCGGCAACCCATATGGTCCCCGAAGCCCACCAGAGGTGATCTCTGAGTGCAGAGCCTGGAGTAGCATCTGAGTATCGCCCTGTGTTACAAACTGAGGCGCCTATATTATGGTAAGAGCTGGTGTGTCTTCCATGTTCTCCATCTTACTTGTCTCCTCTAGGACAGAGGAGGGATACTCAGGCCTAGAAAGGGTGTGTCCGTGTCTGTCGTTTCTGCTCAGTGCTGGCACCCACTCGGGTGCAGAACTGTCGGGCAAGATGTTTTTGTGCAGGATTTGTGGTCATGTGGCCCACCCTCAGATGCAGGAAATTCTCACAGCATGGAATGGGTGATTTGAGGGGTGTGAGATTTCAGGAAATCATTACACATGTCCCCAGAGAGGGAAAATAGCCAACCCCTGAGAGCGGTCAGGGAAGGCCCAGGTTCTCTGTGACTACAAGGATGAGAAGCACTTTCTGCCTGCATGCACAGAGAGAACCAAAAGCCGAGAGAGCTCAGTGGACTGGAGCACAGGCTTGGCATGCAGGAGCATTGGGTTTGAGCCCCAGCACCACATGGTCCCAAACACCTCCAATAGTGACCCCTGAGTACAGAGTTGGGAGTTGCTCCTGAGCACCAGTGGGTGTGACCTCAAAACCAAGAAAGCAAATAAACCCCAAGAATTTAAAGTTTTAAATGGGAAGCTCCATAGGCTCAGAGAATGAGGCATTTTGTGCTCACCCACGTGACCCCAAAGTCCTTTCCAAACCAGCAGTGGCCGGACTCCAACTGGTACTTCTTACCTGAACCTTTCGCCTCCTTGTGTAAAACCTCCATCTCCTTCCCACTGTTCTTGGGATAAAGACTAGAAACCTTCACAGGGTCTGCAGTAGACCTTGCATGCTCTGGCCTTTCTTGACCTGGTCTGGAGCTCCTTCCCTCTCCATCTCTGCTCTGATCTCCGGTCCCTTCTGTCCGCAGGTCATCCTGTGGTGGACCCCTCTACCCAGCCCTGACTTCCTATAAGGCTACTTTGCAGACTTGAGATGCCAGCTCAAATGTTTATCTAGGCAAGGACAGGCAATCTATTATACTGTTCTGTAGCTTTCTTTCCTGGCTCTGATCTGTCTTTCTGCCCACAAGTTCACCTGAGTTGTTCTGGTTCATCACTGTACTTGAGGCCCCATGTCTCCCATCAGCAGGCACACTGGAGGGTCCTATGCTCTTATGTGCCCATAATAGGAGGATCCAGGCATGATGGTGATGAAGGGAAGGGGCTGTGAGTGAGCTCATGCATCTCTTTCCTCGGGGCCTAGGGCCAGGCTGGAGAAGGAGAGGGACCGCGCCAAGATGACAGGAGGGAACCCCAGTGAGGTAGCCCAGGACACTCAGAGAGAGCGGCATGTCTTCCAGCTGCACATGTGCGAGGTAAGGGTTGGGTGTGGGGAGGGATTGCCTGTCTTCCTCTCTTGAACCCCAGGAATGCAGTGATAGGCTCAGCCCACGTCCTGTCCAGATGGCCCTAGAGATGTCAGCTGAATTTAGTCATGGCCAAGAAGACTAACCCAGAAGAGGGCCACACTCTTGTCCCCAAGACTCTGCTCATATCCTACATCTTACACGTCCTGCCCTGCCTTCCCCATAGTATCTGCTCAAAGCCGGGGAGAGCCAGGTGAAGCAAGGACCTGATTTCCTGCAGAGCCTCATCAAGTTCTTCCATGCTCAGCACAAGTAGGTATCTGCCTGTGTCCCACCATGGCCCCTGTGTTGCTTCACCCTTCACCCTTCAGGCAGACCCCATGGACTCTGGGGCTGCATACCCTGTTGGTGATGCACTTGTATAGCAATTCTTGCTTGAGTGCTCACCATGCTCCAGGAACTAAGTACGTGACATAGTGATCTCACTCAGGCCCACAGTTCCCCTATGAGCAGGTCCTGTGATCACACCCCCACCCCCATTCTTCAGATTAGAAACTGAGTCTGTGATTCTGGGCACATCTTCTCCATATACTTGCTGCTCATCTCTTGTTTTTCATCTCTCTGGTCCCTTGTTTGACCTTGGAATCTCTCAGCTTTTTCCAAGATGGCTGGAAGGCTGCTCAGAGCCTGTCCCCCTTCATTGAGAAGCTGGCAGCCTCAGTACACACAGTAAGTAGGTCCTCTGCCTCGGGCATGTATGTGATCTGAACAGTCTGAGAGTGATAGCTAGATCCTGCCTTGAGAGGGAGGCCCCACCTCGCTGGGCTCACACTCTGCAGAGGACACAGCTGGTAATGGGGTCTGCTCTCTGTGCCATAGCTGCGGCAGGCCCAGGAGGAGGAGTTGCAGAAGCTGACCCAGCTCCGGGACTCCCTTCGAGGGACACTGCAGCTCGAGAACAGAGAAGTCAGCCCCTGAACCATCCCCTAGCGAACTCAACCCCCATCCCCACTCCACCAGGGCCCAGCATGGAGGGAGGGAGGGAACGTAGATCCCTAAGAGGAGGAACACTGCAGAATTGGGTCTCCCCGCCAACTCCAAGCACCCTGAAGTTTCCTTTGCATGTCCGAGGAACAGGAGAATCTGAGCAGGAAGAACTCAGGAGGTGGCTACAGCATCCACCAACACCAGGGCAACAAGCAGTTTGGGACAGAGAAGGTGGGCTTTCTGTACAAGAAAAGTGATGGGTAAGTGGCACAGAGAGCTCAAGCAACTTGCTCAGAGTCATACAGCCAGTAAATGACAGGGCTAGGGAAGCAAATCACCAGAATCTAGATACATGAACATCTACTAAAAATCACTGCCTCGTCTTTCTCTTTTGTTGTTTGGTTTGGTTTGGTTTGGTTGGTTTTTTTTGGGGGGGCCACACCGGCAGTGTTCAGGGGCTTGTCCTGGCTCTTTTGTCAGGGATCACTCCTGGCAGTGCCTGGGGGATAGAACTAGTGTCGGCCACATGCAAAGCAAGCGCCTGTTTCTCCAGCCTATGGTTGTTCTTAACTTGAAGAAGAAAAACAGCACTTGCCAAGGAGAGCTAACACCGTGCCCTGGACAAGGTCCATGCTTTAACCTCTACGATACACTGGACGGGCCTCCGCTGGCTGTGCCTTGCAGCCCAGTGTAAAGAAATTAGTCTGTGAGGGGCTGGAGTGATAGTACAATGAATTGAGCACTTGCCTTGCATGTAGTAGACTATATTCGATCATCTGCAACCCATATGGTCCCCCAAGCACCACCAGGAGTGATTCCTGAGTGCAGAGCCAAGAGTAACTCCTGAACACTGCCAGGTGTGGTTCAAATACCAAAAAATAAATAATTTTTTAAAAATAAATAAACTGGTCTGGAAATGTGACGCCCTATGGGGTATATTCATGTTTCTACTTATTACTTCATTGTTACAGGAAATAACTACTAAACCAATGACTATTTATTTTATAGTAGAAGTGTGAAGTAACTTTGGAGCATGGATTTAGAAGTTTATTTTGGAATGGGGAGAAGTGGGAGTCACACCCACAGCTGCTCAGGGTTTATTCCATGGGAGATCACATAGTGCCGGGGATCAAACTGGGGCTTCTGTTTGCAAAGCATGCCCTTCAACCCTTTGAGCCAGCCCCTCAGCCCTCCAGATGCCGTTATGGAGGGCTTGATAGTATTTTCCTTTGTCCTTAGCCTAAACTCATCAGTTACAGACAAATGCCTGCCCTCCTCCCAGACGGGGAATGCTGTAAGATCAGAGCCTGGGTCCCCTCATCACACACTTCACTCTTGGACGTCCAAGGCCACATGGTCCCCTTTAGGATAAGACTCCCAGAGAGTAAGCCCATGTTCTTCCTCCATCAGACTGGGAGATTCCTTAGGGTAAGTCTCTGTCTCCTCCATCAGAAGGGAGTCTTGAAGTGAGGAGTGGAGGATCAGTGAATGGAAGCAGTGAAAGGTCTCATAGATGGCAGACAGATCTGCTGCAGAAAACTCTCTTTTCTGCTACAATGGAATTAGGGGCAAGCTTGGGTCACTGTTTTTCTCTCCCCTGGGTCCTAGAATCCGAAGAGTCTGGCAGAAAAGGAAGTGTGGCGTCAAGTACGGCTGCCTGACCATCTCACACAGCACGGTGAGGCCGGGCCAGGGGTCGGGCACAGTGGCGGGCCATTCCTGGGTGTTATGGACAGACATATGTCAAACCCTCCCTCCAAGCGTGGCATGAAGATTTGGATCCAAGTAGCCAGAGGGCAGGAATCCCAGCTCCCCAGCCTAGTCTTGACCCACACTCCACCTTTTTTTCCAGGGTTCAGAGGTGTTCAAGTAGTGCTCAGGGGGTCTGGGAGTCACTCCCAGTGATTCTCAGCCTGACTGGGGGCTGCTGGGGCCACACCCAGCAGTGCTAGGAGTGGGGGGACCAGACAGTGCTGGGGATGGTCATGACCTCCACAGGCAAGGCCTGTGCTCCAGCTCCTTGCCACTGCATATTCTAAAGATGAAGGGAGAGGAGGGGTACACTGTTTTGTTTGGGGGCCACACCCGGAGGTGCTCAGGGGTTACTTCTGGCTCTGCACTCAGGGATCACTCCTGGTAAGGCTCAGGGTCCAGATGGGGTATTGGGGATTGAACCCAAGTCAACTGCATGCAAGGCAAGTGCCTTACCTGTTCTACTATGGCTCCTATCCTAGGAGAGATTCACTGGAGCAGGATTATTATGCCCGTTTTACAGATTCAAAACAGATAAGCAAGAGTTTGGGAGGCCCAGAGGATAACATGTATGTCAGAGTTTCCCAAACTTACTTGGCCTGCCTTCTTTTATTAGAAACAAACAAAACCCCTCAGTACCCCATCCCTGGAAATTGACCTACTTAGTGCCCCCAGTTGTACCTGAAGCTCCTACGACCCCCCCTGGATCCTTCCTGCACCCCTGGGCGGAGTAGGTGGTGTCTCCCACTTTGGGAAACACGGTTCTACCCCTAAACTCTCATTGACACAGATCAACCGGCCCCCAGTGAAGCTGACCCTGCTGACCTGCCAAGTGAGGCCCAACCTCGAGGAGAAGAAATGCTTTGATCTGGTTACACGTGAGTCCTCTGCCCTCCATCCCAACTGCCCAGAGCTTCTCAGACCCCTTAGCAGTCAGGGGGCGTCAATATGGGGAGCATGGTGGTCTTTGTCCAGTCCCACAAGGGCTGCTGCTGCAGGCACAAGGCTCCTGTAAAACGTGCTGTGGGTCTGGGCGACACAGCTTTGGGATTGCTGTCTCAAATGTCCCGTTGCATCCTCTGGATCCTTGGGTGCTCAGCCTGACTGGCAGGCTGCTGCACCTGCACCCAGATCTAGAAAGCCCTGGTCCTTCAGGAGGGACAGGACGGTGGGGACACGCAGAGGAGAGGAACAGAAGGAGTATTGCAGGACCCTCGGGAGCGGAAAGGTCAGGGAAGGCTGCAGCAGACAAGAGAGTATTTGAGTTTAGTTGAGGGGGGTACAGAAGGCAGAGCTGGGGCAAGGACAATCTTAGGAGACAGGATGGGCGGGATGAGAGGCAGAGAAGCAGGAGAGGAGCCCAGCCCATGTGGATCCCCAGGCGGTGGCTTGCTGAGACCCAGGAAACCCTCTTCAAGGTTTCACCCTTGTCTCCAGGCAATATGCTGTGCCCAGAGAATAGTACAGTGGGTAGGGCTCTTGCCTTGCACACGGCCAACTCATGTTCAATCCCCAGCAGCCCATCTGGTTCCCCAGCACCACCAGGAATGATCCCTGAGCTCAGAGCCAGGGGTCAAGCCTGAGCACACCAGTGTGTCCCAAAACCAGAAAAAGAAAAAAACAAACTAAAAGGGAGGCGTGGTGGGAGATGGGGTGGCACGAGGAACTCCAGAGCAGAGGAGTAGCCGCGGCAGAGCCTGACCTCTCGCTCCCCCTGGCAGCTGGCACAGGCTGGGAGAAGGGCTGTGGGGAGGGTGCGGGGGCAGTAGGACACCCTCCAGCAGGGCCTCATACTGGGGCGACCTTTGCGATTCTCCTTGGGAAGTGACATCTGAGGACCTGCCCGCCGCCCACTGTCCACTGTTAGCATTCACCCTTCCACACCCCTCAGTTATCCACTCTGGAACCCCGCCCCCCACCCCTTTTTGATAAAGGGCTTCTGGCCCAAAACAGACCCACTAGGTTTCTCTGTGCCAGACCTGCTCCTTCCTGTCCCCACAGACAACAGGACATACCATTTCCAGGCGGAGGATGAACATGAGTGTGAGGCGTGAGTGTCCCCACGGCCAGCCTGGGGTGGGACAGGGGCGCCTCATGGCCCAGAGAGGTCTGGTGTCACCCCACCCCCCGCCACACGCACTCTGCAGGTGGGTGTCGGTGCTGCAGAACAGCAAGGATGAAGCCTTGAGCAGTGCCTTCCTGGGGGAGCCCAGCTCCTGCCCGGCGCCCTGGGGAGGCGCCGCTGGGCTGGACGGGGAACCCCAAGACCTTACGAAGCTGCTCATCGCCGAGGTGAAGAGCAGGCCCGGGAATGGCCAGTGCTGCGACTGCGGGGCCGCAGGTGGGGCTGGTGGGGCCAGGCGGGAGGAGGGAGCGGAGGAGGGGGCTGCACCTCCGGACACCAGCTGCGCCTCCTTACAGACCCCACGTGGCTCAGCACCAACCTGGGCGTGCTCACCTGCATCCAGTGCTCAGGCGTCCACCGCGAGCTGGGCGTGCGCTTCTCGCGCATTCAGTCCCTCACCTTGGACCTGCTGGGTCCCTCCGAGTTGCTGGTGAGGGTGCCGGGAAGGGGGAATGGGGGCGTGGTTTGATCAGGGCGCGCGGGGCGGGGCCTAGAGGCTCCCAGACCAGGGGAAGCATCAGGAGGCGGGGTTGGATCCAGAAAGACGCTGGATAGGGCGGAAGGGCCGCGGGAGTGCCTGTCCTCCAGGGGTCGCTGTCCCAACTCCTCCATCTTAATCTCCACCACTTTCTGTTCCACCTGAGCTTGCCTTGAACATTGGGAACACGCGCTTCAATGAGGTCATGGAAGCCCAGCTGCCCTCAAACGGTGGAGCTAAACCCTCAGCCGAGAGTGACATGTAAGGGCCCTGGCTGGATCTTGCACAGAAGTCTGGGCTGAGGGGAGACCCAGGAGAGTCCAGCGTCCCGGTCTAAGCGGAAGGAGAGTCCTAATTCTTGTGGGATGGTTCCTGGGCTTCATCTCTGAGACTGGACAATTCTGCTCTGAGACTCCCTGGTTGCCTTTGGCAGGAGCACCCGCAGAGACTTTATTGTGGCCAAGTATGTGGAACACAGGTTTGCCCGGCGAGTTCCGCATGACCCCCAGAGAGTCCGGACAGCCATTTGCAGCCAGGATCTTCTGTCAGTACTGGAGGCTTTTGCTAATGGGCAGGACTTTGGACAACCTCTGCCTGGGCCAGATGGGCAGGTGAGAACCACCTCCAAGGTCCACTTACAACCCACCTGCATTCTCATGCTCCCTAATCCCCCTCCAGGACCAGCCATTAGTTTCTTTAACCTTACCTGAAATCTGCTCAAGTCCATCCATCCGAGGGGATTATAGGGATCGAGTATGTGGCTTAGTGGTAGAACATTTGCCTTGCATGCATGAGGTCCTGGGTTCTGTTTTAGTCCTACATTATCCCCCAGCAGTAAGCCGGCAGTAAGTAGCTCCTGCGCACCAAACTAAACAAACTAAACAACAGAGAAGTAAAAGGGAGAGATCCTGACTTTCGTCAAGCAGACCTAAGCTGAATCGTGGTGCAGACTCTTCCTAGCTGAGGGATCCAGAGCAGGTCATTTAATCTTTTTGTTGTTGTTTGGCCGTACCAACAACACTCAGGGTTTCCTCAGCTCTCAGGAATTACTCCTGGAAGTGCCCAGGGGACCATATGGGATGCCGGGGATCAAACCCAGGTTGGCCATGTATGAAAATGGGTTCATAATAGTTCTCACAGTTTTGAAGTGAGAATTAATTTGTAAAATTGTAATATATATAAATATATATATATATATAATGAGCCTTGTACATAATTATGTATGTTAGTATGTTACCTTTTATTCCTTGAATTGCTTTGGAAATAGATGTGGTAGGTCAGATTAGAACAAGAAAGGCAAGCTGAAGAAACAGTACAGAGGTAATGGTGCTTATTTTGCATGTACCCAATTTGATCCCTGGAACTGCATGGGCCCCTGAGCGAGCCCTACTTGAAGCAATTTCCAATCACATTGCAAGGAATGGCCCCAGAGTACAACCAGGTGTAGCCAAGTACCCCCATCCATACAAACACACATATACATACATACACACACATACACACACATACACACACACATACACATACACGTGCACACAGCAAAAAAAGAGCAAGAAGGGCCATGCCATTGGTGATTCCAAGTAACCATCATGTGAGCTAGGAGGAGATAAGTTTGATGTTTTTTTTGGGGGGGTCACACCTGGCAATGCTTAGGGTTTACTCCTGACTCTTCACTCAGGAATTACTCCTGGTGGTGCTCCCCATTCCCCTGGGGACCATAGGGGACTCTGGCAATCGAACCAGGGTCAACTGCGTGCAAGGCAAACGCCCTACCTCTGTACTATATTCCTTGAATTGCTTTGGAAATAGATCTGGTAGTTCAGATTAGAGCAAGAAAGGCAGGCTGAAGAAAAAGCTCCAGCCCCATGAGTATGATTTTTAGTTTGCAACATGTAGAGTTCTATGGATTGGTTGAATGATGATATGAATGTAAATAGAAAGTACAACTGAACTATATACTTAGAAATATTGAAGATGGTACTTTTTTTCCTTACCATAAATTTATGATAAAATTATACATTTTGAACCACAATAAAAAATTGTTATGGGCTCAGAGAGATATACATAGCTTTGGAAAAATAAAATTTGCCACTTTTGGTTGTTTTTGAATTTGGGGGGAAAAAGGTTTGGGGTTGGTTTCACTTGTGGTGCTGGGCTCCACACTAGATGAGGCGAGTAGTGCCAGGGATCAAATCCAGGGCCTCATGTGTGCAAAATATGTTTTCTACCATTAAGCCATAGCCTTAGACTCCCAGATTTGCCATTTTTAGCTCTTCTTTGTTTAAAAGAGAAAAAGGGGAAGGGTGGTTAAAATCGACAGGACTTAGTGACAGCTTCAATTCAGAAGTTGAATTTCATGTATTTGAGCTGGTGCCTCGGTAGGGCTGGCCAGGGGGCAGTTTGCTCTCAAGTGAGCAAAGAAAGAAGTTGGGACATTCTGCACATGAGTGTGAGCTGAAAGCAGTTGCTTAGCAGGAGAAGTGGCAGAGCCCTAAGCCAGGAACCACCTTTTGCGGGGGTAAGAGGAAGAAGAACCTTGGGAAAAACAGGTCTGTCACTATCCTCCCAAATGTGGCTTCATCCTTGCCCTCTCCTCCCTTGGAGTTTCTGGCCGCTTGATGTGTGAGGAGGCAGCAAGGGTTGCAGAGAGTAATATGGGGCAGGGGGTGGGGGCGGGTGACAAGCAGACTGAGGAGAGACTCAAGTGGTGTGAATGTATATTCAGGCACCTGGAGAGCTTGCCCTGCACTTGGCCATCAGAGTCGCTGACCAGACCTCTCTGCCCCTGGTGGATTTCATCATCCAAAATGGGTAAGAGCCTCTCTGTTTGTCCACATCCCCAAGCTCCTCCCCCTCTGTCTTCTCTCCTCTCCTTCCCCCCCCCACACACACACCTGATTTAAACCCCTCACCTGCCTTCCCTATTCTCCCCTCCCTGACCCCCAGCGGTCACCCAGATGCCAAGGCTGCTGATGGAAACAGCGCCCTGCACTGTGCTGCTCTCTATAACCAACCTGACTGCCTCAAGCTGCTGCTGAAAGGGAGAGCCTCGGCTGGCACAGGTGGGCAGCCTCCCCTTGCACACCCCCTTCCTCACTGGCCCCCACCCCGTGGGGACGCCCTGTCTTTCTCCCAGATGAATGGTACATGGAGGACCAGCCTAGACCTTGCAGGCAGACTTGGGGTCTAATCCTGGTCTGCCCCTGCCCACTCCAGGGACATTGGATTTGTCCCTTCAAGCTCAGATCCTCAGCATCTTTCTCTGTGAAATGGGAATCATACGCTGACTGAGTGGGTCTGCTAGGAAAGATGTTATTTCTGAAAGTCCCTATTCAAACAAACATCAGCTTTATCTGAATAATAGTCATTATAATAGCTCTTGTTTGTTATTTAATATTTGTCTTTTAATAGGCCAAGTGCTCTTACGAGTATTAAATCAATTTAGTCCTCTCAACAGCCATATAGGCCATAGAGATACCTGCCTCCTGACATGCAGCCCACCCAGTTCCATCCCTAGCACTGCATATGGTCCTCTGAGAACTACCAGGGGTCACTTTTGAGCACAGAGCCAGGAATAGCCACTGATCCCACTGGCTGTGACCCCAACACCTCCCACTTTCTCCGCCTCAAAACAAAGAACGGGTTATTATAAATATCCTATTCACCTTATAGATGAGAAAGCTAAACCCCAGAGAGGTTAAGTAACTTGCTGAAAGCCACCTAGCCAGGAAGTAGCAGGGACAAGATTCGGTCCTAGATCATTTGGTTCCAATGGCCACTCTTAACCTCTGAACTGTAATGTACTTTTTTACCCTAACCTTTACCACTCCCACAGTGAACGAGGCAGGAGAGACAGCTCTGGACATTGCCAGGAAGAAGCAACACAAGGAATGCGAGTTGCTGGTGAGGTGTAATGGGGGAGGCGAGCCCCTGATACTGTCTGCTGAGCCCTGTTCCTGCCTGCTAAGCCCCGCCTCTATTTGCTGAGCCCCACCCCTATCTGCCGAACCCCGCCCGTTTGCTGAGCCCCGCCCCTTTCCCTCTGCTAAGTTGCTGACATGCCAAACTATCCCTACTTTTTTTGGGGAGCAGCTGGAGCAGGCCCAGGCTGGAACCCTGGCCTTCCCTCTGCACCTGGACTACTCCTGGGGGGTGTCTCCAGAGGCTGGCTCTGACAGTGAGGAGGAGGAGGAAGAGAAGGTGGGTCCCAGCCCTTGTCTCTCAAGTCTCTAGGTAGCAGAAGGGAAGAGCCAAGCTTGGACCTAGTGTAGTCCAGGGCTGGTCTGAGGAAACCAAACGTCTTCCCTCCCACACTTTTGTACCAGCAGCGCTGCCCTCTGAAAACCCCAACCCAAGCCCGCTGGACCAGTGGGAGACTGGATATCAGCAACAAGACCTATGAGACCATTGCCAGCATGGGACCAGCTACCCCTCAGAGCCAGAATGAGAATTCCCCTCCACCCTTGCCAGTTAAGAACCCTTCCCGGACTGTGGTCCCAGCGCGTGCAGGATATGGCAGCGGAGGTATGGTGGCCACCCCAAAGAATGCCTGTTCGTTGAGGGCTACTGTGTGTGGCTGGGTGCTGAGCTGAGTGCAGATATTAATCTGCTTCCTGATAATCTCCTGTCAGCTACAGGTTATCAACATCCCTTGAAGGAGCATAAATACTATGCAAATGGTCAGTCATCACAATCGATCATGATCATGATCATCCTGTTGTTCGTCGATTGCCTCGAGCAGGCACCAGTAACATCTCCTTCAACCTAGCCCTGAGATTTTAAGAAGTGCCATATTCAAGGCTCTTTCAGGGTTAGGAGAATGAGACCCATCGTTGTTACTGGTATTTGGGATATTGGGTACACCACGGGGAGTTTGCCAGACTCTGCTGTGTGGGCAGGTTACATTCAGTCAATTGTATGTCTTCTTTTTCTTTTTCTTCATATTTGGGCCACACTGGCAGTGCTTAGGGTCTACGTTTGGCTCTGCACTCACAGATCACTCCTGGTGGTGCTCAGCAGGTCATATGGGGTGCCTGGGGTCAAACTCAGATTGGCCACATGCGAGGCAACCATCCTACCTGCTGTACCATCTCTCCAGCCCCTCAAGCACATGTCTTTCAAGTATGAGGTCCTGCGTTCGATCCAATACTGAGTGTGGCATGCCCCTCCACCTTCCATGCCCCAAAGCTCCCACTACCACCAGCACATCAAAAAAGAAGCAAAAATATTCCATGATGTGCCCAAGATTCCACAGCCACTAAGTCTCTGATGTAGGGCTGAAACCCAGCTCTTCAACCAGAGAAATAGCACAGGGGTTATGACTCTTGCCTTGCATAGGTGACCCTGACTCAATCACCATCCTGGTCCTTGAGGGTGTTGGGATCGGGAGTTCCCTAGCCCTGGGAGGCGCGGAGAGACCAGATAGACACAATTCCTGCAGGAGTAAAAACGGGGTTTATTTAGACCAGCATGCTGGGGCTCCGCAGCATACCCCAAAAACGGGCAGTGGCTGAGAGCCCCGAACTTCTTCAAAAGGGATCTTATATAGGCCTTCACTGGCCGTTACAGCAAAGCCCGCGCATTTCATAGCCAATAGATTTGTAACAACATATACTTTCTTAACCAATCCATTTAAATGTACCTCACTCCTTAGCCTATAGATTCAAAGATCAGCATTTACGTACATCGATTGTCAGCACAAGCAAGGTTATAGCTGGAATCATTAAGCCTTAGGTAATCTCCCTTGACCATCCTCGTTTTGAGTTACCCAAGTCTGCAGGGTGCTTTAGTGAGACAATACATTCCAGGAAAGGGCAATTTCCCCCAACCACCCGCATCCTGAGTTATCCTTTACTCAAATCTGCAGGGTGCTTTACTGAGACAATACATTTCAGGGACAGTAAATCACTTTCCAAGTCCCCTCTCCCCCAGGTGCAAAGCAGCCAAGCAGTTTTACAGAAAGCAATGTTGCAAGTTAGCTAAAGTACACAAAAATTTGATGCCCTAATATGGATTCTTTCAGAGGGTACCATCCCCCCACCCCTCGCAGGAGTGACCCCTGAGCACAGAACCAGGAGCAAGCTCTAAGCACCACGTGGTGTAACCCCAAAACAAACAGAAAAACAAAAACAAAAAAACAGGTCTGCGCTACTCTTAAGTTCTCGGGTGTTCACTCGAAAGAAAGAAAAGCTTTTATTGAGCATTTACCTTGTCTCTGGCTTTCTGGAGGCTACCAAGACAGAGTGTCATAGGGTAGATGTAAGCTGGATGGTTATACACCTAAATTGAACATTTTTCTGCAAATAGAATGGAAGACACTGAGAATGTACAAAATAAATCTTAAAGCTAGATTGGATAAAAATATCTTTACAGGGGAGAACAGTAAATATATGCTTAAGACATTGTCCAGGGGACTGGAGCGACAAGTGCAACAGGTTGAGCATTTGCTTTGCACACGACTGACCCAGGTTTGTCACTGTCACTGTCACTGTCCTCCCGTTGTTCATCGATTTGCTCGAGCGGGCCCAGTAACGTCTCCATTGGAGACTTTGTTGTTACTGTGTTTGGCATATTGAATACGTCACGGGGAGCTTGCCAGGCTCTGCCGTGCGGGCGAGATACTCTCGGTAGCTTGCCGGGCTCTCCGAGAGGGGTGGAGGAATCGAACTCAGGTCGGCCATGTTGGCTGCGTGCAAGGCAAACGCCCTACCGCTGTGCTATCGCTCCAGCCCCAGGTTTGATCCCTGGCATTTCATATAGTCATTCACTGGGTGTGACCCAATCCCCCTTCTCCCCCCAAAAAAAGACATCGTCAGAAACAAAAATACTCCATTATCCCATTTTTATCTTTTTTTTGTTTTTGTAGTTGTTTGTTTTTTGGGCCACACCTGATGGTACTCAGGAGTCACTCCTGACTCTGCACTCAGGAATCACTCCTGGCAGGCTCAGGGGACCTATGGGGTGCCAGAGATTGAACCCGGATCTGCCACATGCAAAACAAGCACCCTACCCACTGTACTATCTCTCCAGTCCCCATTTCTATCTCTTTTAACTTGAATGTTGTTTTTGGTTATGGGGCCATGGTTAGTGGTGCTCAGGGAGTACTCCCAGCTTATTGCTCCTGGAATTCTCCCAGTGGTACACAGGGGATCATGTGGTGCCAGGTATCAAAGCCAGGCCTCATGTATGCAAAGCATGTGATCAAGCCCTTTGAGCTATCTTCTCAGCCCTTTGAGCTATCTTCCCAGTCCCCCTAATATAAATTTTAACTACCTCTCCTTTGTCTCTATATAGTTTGAGTTTAAAGGGTAATGATTTCTAAGAAAATGACACATGTACACACATAAAAGAATGCAGTTCACTATAGTATAAGGCACTGCATTATAGGGAACATAAATCACAGAGGTCAGGCATTTGAGTGAACTTTTTTTTCTCCCACACTAATATAGTGCCTGGCAGTTCTCAAGAGCTCTCTGTCAAATAGATAAATTAGACTTTTCTTGGAAGTTTAGGGGACAGAGAGAGAGAAAGCATATCTGAGAGGAAAGGAGTTGACTAGGAAGTTGGTGGGGGATAGCTTCTCAGCTGAACCTGAGTGATGAGCAGGAGAGTCCAGATTGAGGGGTGAGCAGAAGCAAGTCAATGGGCGAGTACATCATGAATGATCGGGACAAATATGGTGGGGAAGCATTGAAGGGCAGGAGAGAGGTTAATAGCGAGGAGTAGGAGTGAGGAGTTGGTTAGAACCAGAATAGACCTAGTAGCTAAAGATTTCTCTGAAACTAGCACAAAAATGGCCAAGACAAGCTTTATCACTTCGGATTCCAGATCGACCAGAAGCTCCCACCCTGAGCTTGGAGCCCCATGGACCCCCTGAGAGCCTCGCCAGTCCAGCTTCCTCCTCCTCCAGCCTCACGAGCCCTGTGGAACATGGAGGACCCAGTCAAACTCAGCTGGGCTCTGAAGAGGGCCTCTGGGAGTCCCCAGGCCTGTCCCGGCCTGGCCTGATGTCTGGAACCGCCCCTGTGGAGACATACCCCCCAGTCAGATTCAGGTCAGTAAAAGCCCTGCTGTGCAATCTGAGGTACTCTCACACCTCTCTGGGCATCCGTTTATTTCTCCATGTCAGAAGGATGCCTGCCATGCAGTGCCGAGTCCCTGACCACTGCAGAAGTGCTGGGCCTGGAGTGCATGGGGATGGGATGTCATAGTCACCCTCTTCACGCACTGGAGAGCTGGCGAGAGGCTGGGATGGGGACTGCTTCATCCCACCCGCACCCCATTCTGTGGCTCCCTGTGAGGTCTTTGCACCATCCCCACCTTCGACCCAGGGCCTAGTCCTCACTTCTGTACAAACTCTTTCAGTTTAGGGTTTTAGGAATAGGCTAGGAGGTATCTCCAGAGCTCTGTGAGTTCTTGGGCCTGGACAGCCCTGGCCTGGGGACCTAATGGACCTTCATGCAACACCCTCTGCTCCAGCCTTGTTTTCTAGAGCCCTTTCTCTGCTGCCGGGGGGTGGGGATTTCTGTGGACTTGGGGGCCACCTTGAGCTGTATCTGTCTTCCAGCTCCGAGAGCACTCGCTCCTATCGACGTGGGGCCCGGAACCTGGAGGACTGTCCCTCAGCCAGGCAGCCTCTCCTAAGAAGGAACACACCGGTAGGAGTTCCTGGATGTCGTGGCACTGGGGGTGGCGGGGCCCCGGAAGGCTATTGGTCACCAGTAAGTGTGTTGGGGTGGCAGGCTTCGCCTCGTGATTAGGGCACCAGAGAGCCTCAGGCAGCCACAGTGTGGCTTTTTGGGCTTCATCCCAAGGCAGGGGAATGTGGAAAGAGCCTAGGTTTTGAGGGGGCAGCAGACACAAGCTCCGGCTACCCCCGCAAGGAGGAAGAACAGAGCTTTGTCAACCAAGATGGTGACTCCGAGAAAGAATTCCAAACCTGGGGTTGGAAGCACAGTGGGTAAGGTGTTGCCTTGCATGCACCTGACCTGGGTTCAATCCCTGGCACCACCTCTGCTTCTTTGAACCAAACCAGGAGTGATCCCTGAGCTCAGAGCCAGGAGTAAGCCCTGGGGATCAAACCCAGGTTGGCTGTTGCACTATTGCTTCAGTCCCTCGCTTCATATCTTTTTTACCTCAGTTTTTATCATCTGTAAAATGGGGTTGGTTTCATATAGCCACAGTGTGACACTTGCAAAATGGATATAAACAAGTGGAATGTAATCGGTAGTTTAGAAGAGCTTTTTGCACCCTTCTCTCCACAGGCTGGCTTCACCGATGGAGACGGCTCAAGGACTGGGGTTCTTCCAGCAAGTTCTGTGCAGCTTTTGCAAGACTAGCTCCTTGCTGGCCCTCATGTGTCTGAACCACCCCATGCTGGACCCCAATATTCAGAGCTAGGACTTGAACCCATGAGACTGGGGAGCTGACGTGTTCATTCCCCTCCAACTTGACTTTGTCCCTTGTGCCTCTGTAGCTGCCCTTCTCTCTTGCTGTGAAGCCAAGACACCCACCCTTCCTAGCCTGAGCTGACAATCCAATGTCTCTCCTGTCTCATTGCCCCCAGGCACCAGGGAGCCCTGTGGATGGATCTAAGTGCTGCTGAGCTAGCTTCAGCTATAGAACCTCAGTCCTCATCAGTCGAGGCCTCATCTTCCATCATTCTGGAGTGTTCACAAGAATTGGACCAGCCGCTCCATCATTCTCCAGACCAGGAATTCTGCCAGACTAGGCACTTTCTTTTCTGCCATTCTTAGCTTGTCTGCTGTTCCTGCATCCCAATTCTATGTCTATAACTGTGCGGGGCATTGCAGATGTTGAATGAGGAAGACGGGGTCCTGCAGATGTGATCTCTTGCTGGGAAAACTGATCTCAAGGGGAGATGGGCTTGGGAATGCATAGGACTAGATCCTGGATATGGTTCTGGATTCACGGGCAGACTGGTTTATATCTGTATGACATTGCCATTATCTATAGCCTTTGTCCATCCAGGGTCAATGTCCATACTGTGCTGGCCTCTAAATGAGTATCCTGAGTATCGCTTCATTTAAGGAACAGTGCAGCCTTCCTGGAAACCTCGCCAGGTATTCATTCCCCAGCTAAGAAGAAGAGCAATATTTACTCCTGTTAGCCTATTCCCCTAATTTAGCAGGAAAGAAAGGAGTGGTTTGAGACTGGGGTGATGTTATAGCAGGATGGGTACTTGCCTTGCACATGGCAGCCTCAGGTTTGATTCCCCAGGACCCCGATGGTCCCTGAATCCTCCAGGAGCAGTCACTGAGTGAAGAGCCAGGAGTAAGCCCTGAGCACTGCCAGATGTGCCCCAGCATCCCCCCAAAAGGAATGGTCTGGAAGTCCAGATTTCTTTCTCCTTTTTCCCTCAGTCACCATAAGAGTCTTTTAGTCTTAGGAAAGGTGAAAGACAAACAAGGAGAGGGTTGAAGTAGGAGGGCAGAGACTCAAAGGTTCTGCCTCTAGTGCCAGGAGGCCCAGGAGGGTTCCACGTCCAAAAGCTTCACCAATCACTAACGCCAGCTGTACTGCCACTGGGCTCGGGGCCCTGGGTGGGATGTGCCAGGCCAAGCAGGAGAAGCTGTGAGTGACCAACGCAGTCTGGCTGGGAGACTCGCTCTCTTTTGCATGCTAAATGGTCTGCAATGCCCCCCAGACGTGGGTGAACTTTTGAGTCCCCCCTCCTCACGCCCCATCTGCTGGTTTTATTCATCTCAGACTTGTTATTTTGCTCATCTCTAATAAACTATTTTTTTAAATAATTCCATTGGTTTCATTTCTGTGATCTGAAGAGCAGTAGGGAAGGGAATGTTAGGACTTCGCACCGTTTCTCCAGACCTCGGATGGGAGAAGCTGAGGGTAGCAGCAGTTGGCAACATTTGGCAATGCAAAGACCTTTTGCTTGTTTGTTTTGGGGGGCACACCCAGAAGTGCTCAGGAGCTTTTCCTATCTAGGTGCCTGGGATATTGTTTCAGTGCTGGGGACCAAACCCCACATGTATGGTATGTACTCCAGCCCATCGAGCTCTCTCCCCAGCCCTACTGCAGTTTTGATCGTCGCCAGCTGGGATGTGCTACTGGCATCTAGTGGCTTAAGTCCATGGATGCTGCTAAAATACCCTACAATACACAGCTTCACCCTCCTCAGATGTGACTTATCCAATCTGTTTTTAGTGCTGACACTGAGAAACCCTGGTGTGGAGGATGGACCTGTGGACTAGGAGTCTGAGAACCAGCAGTTTAGCTCTGCCTGGGCTCCAATCTCACTTTGAATTCCCCTGAAATAAGGATTTAAGGGCAAGTTATGTATTTACACTTAGTGTGGGGAATCACACCAACAGTGCTCAGGGCTTACTCCTGATTCTGCGCTCAGAGATCATACCTGGCACTGTTTGAGGAACCATGTGTGGTGCTAGGATGGAAGTGGAATTGGCCCATGCAAGTGCCTAAATCCCTGTACAATCTCTCTCATCCAAGGGGCAGTTTAATAGTGAGATGATCTCAGGAAATATAAAGCAGGGGGAAATGAATCAAAGATGATTTTTTTTTTAAAGCAATAGAAAGGCTGAAGATGTGACTAGTTTGTTCCTCTCTAGATACTACCTAGCACATAGTAGGTGTCCAACAAACACATATTAAATGAATATTTTTCCTCTCTTATGTGAACACACTCTCCACTTCCAACTCCTACCCTGTACTTCTGCACAGTTTAAAACTTAATTTTTTGGAGGTGAATGTACCCCAGCAGGCAAATCCCCCTCACATGTCTCCTAGGTATCTATGACCCTCATCTAGTTGTGATTATATGATTATACAGAATTGGATTTAAGGATTGTGTGTACGTAAATACACATTTTCCTTACCCATAAACTGTTTCAAGCTTGCTGTGACTGTGCGGGTGTGTTTTATTGATGCCTTGGACATGGCAATATACTTTTGAATGAATGAGAAATAAGCAGACAAACATGGCCCTTCCTTCGTTGGTCCCAGTTCATACCACAAGGTAGGAGTCAGCTGAATTCACACCATGTTGGCTCTGAGACCCAGGCTGGGATGGGTTTCTCTAAGGTTCTCTCAGGAAAGCCTAGAGAATTCATTGAATACTCCAAGTCACAGCTCCCCCCAACTCCCCTCCCCCCATGGGTGACCACTTTTCATGATTCCCCTTCAGAGATTTCTTCATCCACCAACCCCCAGTCCCAAACTCCAAACTACCATCACAGATTGTTCAGTTAAAACCCTCTTGCTGAGGAAGAGACCTGATCAATAGAAATTGGTCGTTCCTTGGGGCTTGCCTTAGACACAGTCTACCCAGGTGCAAGCCCCAGTGTCATGATCCCCGACACCCTATGTGGTCCTCTGAGCACTGCCAGGAGTAACCTTTAAGCATGGAGCCAAGAGTAAATTCTAAGCATAACTGGTTGAGCCCCCCTCAAAAAAATGTTTTTTTTTGGGTCCATACCTGATAGTGCTTAGGGGTTACCCCTGGCTCTGTGTTCAGGTATTACTCCTGGAAGTGCTCAAAGAACTGTATGGGATGCTGGGGGTTGAACCCGGGTCAACCGCATGGAACACAATTTTCCTACTCACTGTACTATCTCTCTGGCCCTCATAGGGATAGAATTCTGTTTCCTCCCCTCCACAGAGATGATCTTGCAAGCCCAGTTCCATTGGAGAAGCAGTATGGCCTTACCCCAAGAAACCCCTCATGCATCTGGATGGGTTTTTTCCAAATTTCAGTTCCATTAAGTGTCTCCCAAGCCCTCAATACTCAGAATGAGGTCTTAGGAGCCACAGCCCCCTATGGGCTTTGCAAGGACTTGTTAGAAATGCAAGACATTGGAACTGAGAGAGCTCAATAGGGCTGAGCGCAAGCTTTGCATGAGGTAGGCCTGGGTTCAATCCCTGGTACCACCTGGTACCCCTGCACTGCTGGGAGCAACCCCTGAGCACAGGTTAGGAAAGAGCCACCTCAGTGTGACCCCCGCACCCCCCCCCCCCAAAAAAAAGCCCACAAAAGGAGAAAACCAAGCAAACCGGGCCAGAGAGATAGTACTGTATAAGGTGCTTGCCTTGTATGGATGTATGTGGCTGACTTTAGTTGGAGCCAACATGAGTTGGATCCTGAGCCCGGAGTGCAAAGCCAGGACTGCAGAGCCAGAGCACTGTGTAGACCCAAACAGAAAAGGAAAATTTAAGAAAAGAGAACAAACAGCAGCACAGCAACAAACAAGATCAAACTATGCTCTAGGGTTACGGATGGAAACAGGCACAGGCTAGGAAAGAGTTGGATTTAAGGATCACTCAGAGAGAGAGAGAGAGAGAGAGATTCGAGGTCACCAAGTTGGCTTCACCTGGGCACAGGCACCGGAGCACGGTGGAGCCGCAGAAACCCCGCGCTCCGGGCAAAAGCACCCCCTCCCCGCCCCCCGCAGGCGCCCTCCCCGCCACCACGGCCGCTGGCGTCCGGGGACAGCGTCCTCGCCTCTTGCCAGGGAGCCCCCACATGTCCCTTCAGTCCCCGGACTCCCAGCCAGAGCGCCAGGTCCAGCGCGCGCGCTCTCCAAGCCTCGTCGGTGCGCGGGGGCCGGGCAGGCCGGCCGGCCGGGGCAATCTTTGCCCGGGCGAGTCCTTGAAGTCTATATTTAGAGTGGCACCCCTCCCCCACGGCCGGGCGGCGGGCGGGCCGCGAGGGGTGTGCGGGGAGCCCCGCCCCGCCGGGCGAGTGTGTGTCTGTGGGGTGTGGGGCCCCAGCGAGCCGCGCGCCTCCGCCTCGCCGCCTCCTGCCCCGGCGCCCCTCGCCCCGTCGGGCGTCGCTGGCCAGCATGGGTCCGGAAGAGGAGCTGCTGCGGATCGCCAAGAAGCTGGAGAAGATGGTGACCAGGAAGAACACGGTGAGGATGGGCTGCAGAATTGGGTCCCGGAGGCGCAGCGCAATCCTGCCCCGGAGCGCCGGGGGCGCGTGCTGGCCCCGCGCCCGGGCGGCGCGTGCGGGACACCCCGGCCCAAGGGAGGCGCGGCCCGAGCCGAGCTCCTGGGCCCTCGGGGCTGGCCGGGCTCTGCACGGCGGATGTGTGCAAGACCCGGGGCGGGATTCGCGCTGGCTGGCAGCTCGGGCTCGTGCGCTTCGCTGTCGGGACGTGGAACGTTCGGGAGGGTCCCTGCAGGGAGCTTGGACGGGGCCGCGGGGAGCTAGTGGGGGAGACCTGGAGCCCGCGACTCGCCGAGTGCGCCACGTCCAGGGAGCGCGGGGACGGTGAGGAGTGGACGGAGGGAGGACGAGGGGAACCAAATCCTGGATGACCCGAGGAGAGGAGGAGAACTTGGACTGAGGAGGGCTGCTAAGCTGTCTAGCGCGTGGGGGACAGGAGCCGCAACCCCGCGGGCTGGGATGCCACAAGCGTTGTTTGCAACTTTCTCTTTCCTGGCGGAGGGTGAGGCCCCGGCGGGGCGGGCGGGGCGGAACAGGTGCGGGCAGCAGGGCGGGGTAAGGACCCGCGGGAGGCCAGGGCTGCGGGGGGGGGGGGGGGGGGGGGGGGGAACCCGGGTGCGGGTGCGGAAAGGGGGCAACGGGACCCGGATGCTAGAGGGAGTTGGGTTGGTGGGTCCCGATTTGGGGCGCCCAAAACCAGGAACCCCAAGCTGCAGGCCCAGGTGAAGTTAATGTTTGACCCTTCCTGCGATCTTTGCCTCAGCCTGGCACCCGCTGGACTATCGAGCCAAAGTTTGGCCTTGGGTCTGCGAGGGCTGGGCCTCAGCCTGGAGGAGAGAGAGGAAGGTAACCAGAGGTGTCCCTCCTCTTGGCTTTGGCCCAGGATCATCCTCCTGCCTCCATTCATACACTTCCCAAACGGCAGCTGCATATCTAGCACTTTCTCTGTGTGGTTCGGAGTTTGGGGTTGGTAGGGAACCGCTTAGGAAGGTTTTGGAGCAGGGGAGATTGTAGGACTGTCAGGGAGCGCTAGAGGGGACACTGGGCAAGGAGTGAGGTGGCAGCGGCGCAGAGCAGAGCCTGCGTGGCAGACATTGAGTGCACCAAGTTGACTTCACTTGTGCACAGGCTCGGAGCATGGTGGAACCACTCCAGCACTGACATGCAGGAACCCCAAGCTATGCCCTGAGGAAGAGGTCAGAGTTTTCGTCTCTGTTGCCTGTGGTGGGAGGGAAGAAATGAGACAGTTGTGTAAAGCCCACAGGGCCAGGTACCTCATAAAACACAGAGTGTATAAGACTGCTTTACACAACCAGAAGAGATAAGGAGATTGTTCTTCTCCCTTCCCTCCCAGCCACCACCTCCCCATACCAGGGTCCTACAAATTCAGTGAAGCGGCCTCGGTGTTGGGACACTTTCCTCATAGGGTGTGGCAGAGCCCAGCCCAGGTCTTCAGAGCTCAATTCCATCAGGTCAGGTAGATAGCTTTGCCTGGATTCTCAGCCTGCTCCTTGCTTAGCAAGGGTCATGCTAGGGGCTTCTGGGGTGAGTGCAGAAACTGGGGAGACTGGAGGAAGAGAAAGGCTGCGCTTGTTTGGGGAGCGAGATCTGGCTAAGGAGGGACAAACACCTCCCTCCTTTTTATGACCCATAGCTCACTGTTCTGCTTCCTTCTCTGGACCCCAATTTTGTCTTCTGCCCAATGGGGAGAGGAAATGGAGTACGCCTGGAGGTGGAGGCCTCTGGGAGTACACAAAGCTCTGGAAGGGAAGAAGCAAGTTTCAGCACAGGGTCCATGCAGCGGAGAGCCACGTCTACGGCCGGGCTCTTGGCAACATCTGGGTGGGCACAGAGCTCTGGGCTTCCAGCCGAGAAAGGTGGGGCTTGCTTTGAGAGGGAATGTGGGTCCGCCCAGTGGTGGTTTGGGAGAGAAGGACACACTTCCTTAATAAGACGGATACTCCACGTTGCAGCTGAGCCGGGTTTCCCTGCCAGTGACTGGAGTCTCAGTAACCCAGGGCTTTCATCAAATATTTTGAGCATTTCCCAGCCCAAGCAGCTTTAGACCTACAGTTCAGACACGCAATAAACAGAGCTGCATCACCAGACCATACCCAGTAGGTAAACAGTCAGCTACAAACAGCTGCATATGCCACACAGCTACAGACACTGACATGACAGGCACTCTGACGCCTGTAAGACAAATTCAGAATATTCTATTTACTGAAAGATTGAGGTGACTCCACATAGACGTGCGCGCGCATGCACACACACACACACACACACACACACAGTGCAATGACTGCCATCATGGAACGCTGTAGACTTAGCAAACAGCCATGCTGTTCAACATTCACGAGTAGACACTCTGTGCTTGGAACTGTATGCTCACAGCTCTGCACCTGGGCCAGAGAGACTACTGGCTGGACCCTGTACAGAGACGCACACCGACAGCACCTTCACTACTAGAAGCAGCCCTCACAGTGTTTCTCCACCACAACTCAATTAGAACATTCGACACACCCTGAGGAGTGAGCTGTCAACAACTTAACACTGATCGCTAAATAGTCAGGAATCTCTTAAAGTCACTTGTTCTATACAGCCATTATTTAAATAATTCAATACTATGCTTCCAATGAAAAGTTCAAAACACAACAGGGCCAGGAGAGATAACTCAAGAACTGAGTGCATGTTTTGCATGTGGGAACTCAGGTTCTATCCCAAGTACCACACTGTATCCCAGGTACCACCAGGAGCACCATCAACTATGGCCCCCAAATAGAACAAAACAAAAATGCAGGTTGCACTAAAAATCATCACTTCCTAATTATTTTTCTGTCCTCTGTAGCCTAGAGCAGTGTTTTCTCCATGTCTGCCTGTGAGTCGCCAGTTTATTTTAAGGGGTCACAGGTGAAAGTTACATCAATGGAGGGGGCCATAGAATGAGATTAGGAGGCCACTTGTAAAAATGAGGACGTGGCAAGAAAGAAAATAAAAGTCATAAAGGGTCTTAGTTGGGAAAAAGATTGAGCAACACTCAATGGAATCGTATTTTGGGAGCTTGAATTTTGAATACACCATAAGAATTTTCCCCAGAAATTTGCAAACACTACAAATCCTCATTTCCCCCCTTGAGAACTGGTTGTTAAACATTGACCAGTATTACACTAGCCGAGTCAATACTTCATGATTGTACCTGTCTGGGCAGGTCTGTGTAAACACCTAAACAGTTTATATCAGGGTTCAAACCTAAGAGGCCTGCGTTTGAATTCTAGTAACTTTAGGCATATCATTTAACCTGTTTCTGAGGTTTCTTTTCTGTAAAAATGGCAACCATTGGGTGGTTATGAGAATGAACCGAGGTCCTGGAAGTAAAATACCTAGGACAAAGCCCGGCACTTCAGACGCTTTCATAAATCATTCACACTGAGCTGGACACCCATAGACTGACCTCACACCCAGCCCCCTCTGAAAACCCGTGAGCTGAGTTCTCAGGGACAGTGCGGCTGACCCAGGGCAGCCTTTGGGATGCGGTCCAGGGGGACTGGCAGGGCGGGTTTGGCAGTGGGGCAGGACATGGGGCACACAGGACACAGTCAGCTGGTGCTCCCCAGGGCATGGTGGTGGCGGCAGGAGGCCAGGGATGGCCTCATGAATGCTAAGGGAGGGCAAAGTCTAAAATGAATCAGGGATGGTTTGGCAGTCAGCAAATTTTTGTTTTGTTTTGTTTTGTGGATTTTTTAGGGGGGGAGAGGACATACCCAGCAGTGCTCAGGAATTACTCCTGGATCTGTGCTCAAGGATCACACCTGGCAGTGCCCAGGGAACCATGTGGGATGCTGGGGATCCAGATTTGCTATGTGTAAGGCAAGCGCCCTACACTATACAATCTCTTTGATCAAATCTCCATCTACTAGGGGATTACCTTGAGGTGCAAGGAAACTTTGGGGGGTGATGGCTGTGTTCTGATCTTGGCTGTGGTGGCGATTCAAACTTGTGTACCTAGGTGAGACCTCACCCAGTTGTGGGCTCAGGCATGGGTAGTCTGTCATATACCAGTTATGCATCACTAAAGCTGTGAGAGCAAGACCCCTAACACTCATGCTGCAGAAACTCCCCTTGTAGCCAGGGGAAGCCACTTTTTTTGGTGGGATATTTTTGTTGTTGTTTTGTTTATTTGGTTGGTTGATTTTGACAAAGGCTACTCAATGTAACCTGCCCACACGGCAGAGTCTGGCAAACTCCCCGTGGCGTACCCAATATGCCAAATACCAGTAACAATGATGGGTCTCATTCTCCTAACCCTGAAAGAGCCTTGAATATGGCACTTTAAAATCCCAGGGCTAGGACGAAGGAGACATTACTGGTGCCTGCTCGAGGCAATCTACGAACAGGATGATCATGATCGTGATAGTGATTTTACCTTGTGGGCCTTATACAGCAGGGCTTATTCCTGGCCCTGTGCTCAGAGATCACTCCTGGTTGCTGGGGAGTGAACCCAGATCTATTCTATGCAAGGCAAGTCTCTTATCTCTCAAATCCCCCACCCTTTGTGTTTGTTTTTGTTTGGGGGCCACACTGTGCTGAGGCTTACTCTTTTTTTCTTTGTTTTAATTTTTAAGTTTTTTTCATAAAGTTGTTCACAATAATTGATTACATTCAATATTACTACACCAATACCACCACCATTACACCTTCCCACCACTTATGTTGAAGTTTCCCACCACCACTCAAGCTTATCCCACCGGCAGATACAAGATAATTTATTTTGTGTTGCTTGTTATGAATAGTATAAGATGTCTATAAGGGTCTGTCTTACAGTGATTCAACAAAAAAAGCAAAAAAATAGTAAGAGAAATTGCACCATCGCTTTTGTGGCGATGCACTCCTGGGATTCTAAAAATTAAAATAATTGGGGTCCAGAGCCGTCTCTGCAGTAAACTGCTCAGTTCTGAGATTCATTTGTGAGTCTCTGGATCACAGGCATTAATGTGCTTAAATGGCACCCAGAGGCAGTTTGCGGGTGTGACAGCCAGGACCCCAGAAGGGCGGGGAGATGGGAAGGGATGGCCTAGTCTTGACCCCTTGAAGCCTGGATTTTTCAGTCACTGGTCCCACAGTGATTTGAAAAAAACCTGGGTTTTTCAGCGAATTTATTCTCTTGTGTGGGGGACCCAGGACGAGTCTGTGAAGATCGGCCATGAGGGTGGTGGCGATTGGTTTCTGGAGGTTTGCGGCTGCCGGGGTTCATCTGGTGCAGGCAGAGTGAGAGGACACCTGCTCCCATCTGAGGTGCCCCAGTGAAATCACCCTGGTGCACGATCTGGAATTAAGGCTTACTCTTTTTTTTTTTTTTCCGCTTTTTGGGTCACACCCAGCAATGCACAGGGGTTACTCCTGGCTCTGCACTCAGGAATTACTCCTGGTGGTGGTGCTCAGGAGACCATATTGGATTCTGGGAATCAAACCCTGGTTGGCCGTGTGCAAGGCAAATGCCCTACTTGCTATGCTATCATTCCAGCCCTGAGGGCTTACTCTTAACCCTGTGTTCAGGGATCATTCCTGGCAGTGCTTGGGGCACCATTTGGGGTGTTGGGGATCCAACCCAGACTGGCCACTGTGCTATTTCTTCAGCTCCTCCTGAGTTTCAAATCTGCCTTTCCTTGTCCTGGTCTCTCACCCCCTTCCATTTTCTGATCTCCTGTATATTCAGGGAGCACTGGTCTGTGTGCTGTGCCCTGAGGTGTCAGGGCAGACACCCATGCTCTTTGAGCAGAAGAAGGAGAATATCTGTCCACACAGAAGCTTGGACATGAATGCTCTGAGCAGCTCCGGGTGGTCCCTACCCACAAGTCCCATCCACAGGTGAATGGAAGAGCAACTTGTGCACACATACTAGAAATGGACTCAGCAGTACAAAGGACCTGTTCTATGCAGCAACATGGGCACATCTCAAAATAATGACTCAGGATCAAGGAAACCAGATAGTAAAGCACATTTCAATTTTCTTTTCATAAAAATCCTTTAAAATGTGAACTCTCAGGGTCAGAGTGATAGAACAGCGATAGTACACTTGCCTTGTACACAGCCAACCCATCTCTGATACCCAGCATCCCAAATGGTCCCTCAAGCCCTGCCAGGAGTGCAGAGCCAGGAGTAAGTCCTGAGCATGCTGGGTGTGACTCCCAAACAAACAAACGCAAAAATGCAAGCTCACAACTGGGATATGGCTCAACTGGGAGAGATGGCTTAAGACCCCAAGTTTATTTGCCAACACTGCATGGACCCCTAAGCACTACCCTGAGCACTTTGGGGTGACCTTGATGCCCCCCCAAGCACTTCTGGATGTGACCCCTGTTTTATGCACTTAAAAATAGTAATAATAAAGGTAATATGGGGCGAGAGGAATAGTAGATGGGGTTTAAATGCTTGCCTTGCACGTGGCTGACCCTGGTTTGATTCCTAGCACTGCATATGGTGCTCTGAGCCCCTCCAGGAATGATGCCTGAGCACTGCTGGGTGTGGCCTTCCCCCAACCACCCAATTTTTTTAAAAATAAATAAATGAAATTGGGGCTGGAGTGATAGCACAGCGGGTAGGGTGTTTGCCTTGCACACGGCTGACCCGGGTTCGATTCCCAGCATCCCATATGGTCCCCTGAGCACTGCCAGTAGTGATTCCTGAGTGCAAAGCCAGGAGTAACCCCTGAGCATCGCCAGGTGTGACCCAAAAAGCTAAATAAATAAATAAATAAATAAAATTAAGCTCAACTAGCGTAAAAGAAAGCAGAACAGTGGTGGTCTGGGCCTGGGGTTGGGGGCTCCAGGAGAGGTGGATTACCTTGGGGTGCAAGGGAACTTTGGGGGAGGGTGATGGCTGTGTTCTGATCTTGGCTGTGGTGGCAGTTCAAATCTGTGTACCTAGGTCAGACCTCACCCAGCTGTGGGCTCTGACACGGGTGGTCTGTCATATACAAGTTATGCCTCACTAAAGCTGTGGGGGGAAGACCCCAAGCACTCATGCTGCAGACAGCCCCCTTGGGAAAGTGAGGGTTGCACAGCAGCCCCTGCAGTAATCAGAAACAGGGAGGCCATTCACTGTAGAGGAAGAAACTGGGGCGGCAGGGCACACCAGTAGAAGGAGCAGCAGGAATGGACACTCACACTGGGTGTCCCAGCCGCAGTCAGGCCTGTGACTTGCTCAGAAGGGACAAAAGAGAGTTGGTCTTGGGGGTTGGGGGGAAAAGGACAGCAGGCAGCAGACCCGCGGTGGTGAACCTCCCTGTCCCAGTCTGGCGGCCCCTTCTACCAGCCTGTATCCCATAGCGGACAGTGTCCTCCCTGCCTCCCTTTCCCTGGGGGCCTCTGCGGAGCCCACTGGCCTCAGCCCTAACTCTGACCTCCCACAGGAAGGGGCCCTTGACCTTCTGAAGAAGCTCCACGACTGTCAGATGTCCATCCAGCTACTCCAGGTGGGGTGTCCTTGGGGCATCGCAGGGAGGTGGGGGGGGGGGGTCTCTCTGAAGGAAGGGAGAGGCCTGGGCCTGGATAAGGGAAGAGAACTCTATGGGTGGGATCTGGGAGGAGCTTTGGAGGTGGGGGGCCCTGAGGTGCTCTGAGGCTGGGGGCTGAGATACTCCCCATCTCAGTGGGTCCCCCTGGGTCTGGGAGAAAGACTGAAATATGTTCCTTGATACCCCAATTCGCAGATCCTGGGGTGTGGAATCCAAGTCATCAGTGACCCAGAGAAAAGGAAACGTTGCCATGTTTAGACGCCTGCTGTGGTGCCCATGTCCTGCCCCCACCCCCTCAAAGATTCCCAGAGGTGCTTGGTCCAAAAATCAGCACAGCTCCGGAGCCCAGTAAGGGTGGCAGGTCCATGATTCAGTAAGATCAAGGTTATCTCAGGCAGGAGTCAGGATTAGGGCTCTGGAGACGCCGAGGCTTGTGGAAGGGGAAGGGTGAGCCAGGGGAGGTCCCATCAATGAGAGCGATCTGTCCCGTGGATCCCTGCCCAGACCAGCCCCTGACCCTCTCACTTTGCAGAAAACCAGGATTGGCGTTGCTGTTAACGGGGTCCGCAAGCACTGCTCAGACAAGGAGGTGGTGTCCTTGGCCAAAGTCCTCATCAAAAACTGGAAGCGGCTGCTGGGTGAGAGGAGGCAAGGTGGACAAGGTGGAGGGTGGGTGATGTCCTCCTCCTCTGCTGGGATTCTGCCCGATTCAGAGCAGACACTCAGGCATGTTTGTTGAATGACTTAATGTCAGATGGCCCTTAGGCGGTGCCAGTGACGGTATAGAGAAGGGTGAGATTTGTAGACATGTGGGAGTGTCCATGTGCCTGTGTATTTATTTTTGTGCTTATGCTTTTGTATATATAGCACATCTCTCTCTCTCTCTCTCTCTCTCTCTCTCTCTCTCTCTCTCTCTCTCTCTCTGTTGGCACGACTAGGACAATAGGTTTGCTGTGTCTTTCTGTCCCCTTGCGTGAGTGTCGGTTTGTACACATAGGTACACATTCCGTATGCATCTGTGTGTTTCAAGGTGGTGAGTGTCATTGTCATTGTCCCTTGCTTCTTCCTCCCCCGAATCATACTGGGTTCTGTTGAGACAGAGCTACAGAGCTGACTTGAGGAACGAGGACACCTCCCTTTTCTCCACCCCCCCCCCAGATTCCCCTACGTCCCCTAAAGGAGAAAAAGGAGAAGAAAGAGAAAAAGCAAAGAAGAAGGGTCAAGAACTTGAGTGTTCAGATTGGAAGCCAGAGACAGACCTTTCTTCAGCAAAGAAAAAACGAAGGGAAGAGCCAAAAGACAGGTAGGTTTTGGGGGACTGGCAGGGACCAGGGAGAAAGGGCCGCTTTTGTCTTGTCCTGGGAAGTGGAAGCCATTTATATAACTTTGTTTACACCCCAAAAACAGTAGAGGTGGCCCTTTCAGTGTCTCCCCTGGTCCTCTTCCTGGGGGTTCTTTGACTCCAGCCAGGAAAATCACAGACCCACTGAGGATCTGCCTGGTGCTGGTCTCACCTAGAAGCTTGCAGGAACCCAGCTGCAGACAGCCCTCTGTTGGTGGGAACCCCTGATTTAGGATTCTCATGTTCTGAATCTTCTGACAATCTGCAGTCTGCTCCTAGGATTGGAGAGAGAATATAGCAGGTAGGGCATTTGCCTTGCTGATGCAGGTTCAATCCCCAGCATTTCATATGGTTCCCTAAGCCCACCAGGAGCGACCCCTGAGTACAGAGCCAGGAGTAACCCTTGAGCACCTGCCAGGTTAGCAAAAAAAGACTGTTGGGGCTGGAGCGATAGTAGAACAGGTAGAGCATTTGCCTTGCACACGGCCGACCTGGGTTCAATCCCTGGCATCCCATATGGTCCACCAAGCACCACCATGAGTAATTTCTGAGTGCAAAGCCAGGAGTGAAAAAAATTTTTTTCTAGGATCCCCGTCCAAGTTTCATGGTATTAGGGGCAGCCCAAAACCTGTGCTTTCCACCCTGTCGTTTTAGTTCCTTCACAGCCTTCCTGTCTAGACGTAATTACCAATCAGGGCTCACTTTCACAGTAAGCAAGAGTGCCTGTGACACAGTTGACATTTCTTCTACCTTTGTCAGGGCACTGGGGTAAATGTAACTTACTCGCCCAGAGAGAAGGAAAGGCGTTTTCTTAGCCCTTTCTCTGACATTCCATTTAGTAATGACACTGAGGATTGGGACTTTCCCAACATCACACGCATCTGCTGAGAACAGGACCAGCATCTGTCTCAACACTGGGCCTGTTTCCCCTTGCCCATCGCAGCCAGTATCCTCAAAATTGTGTGACCTCTGAGTGGGCCCAAGTGCCTAATGAGAGAAATAGACAAAAAGCCGTCAGGAGAGGCAGGTAGACAGCTGAGGGGATGGAGCCTGTGCTTGCTCGAGCCCTTTGAACCATGTCCCCAGCCCTCTCTGTTCCTTTGCACCCAGTATACCCTCTTCTAGAAACTCATTTTAAGGAGTTCATCAGGTTAAAGCATAAAGATGATATGTTCTGTGTGTCACTCTTCTCCACTGTCATTTCTGAAATGCACCCCCACCAAACCCTTCTAATTTAAAACCTAAATTTCTTTTATTTTTATTGTGGTGCTGGGATCATTCCCAGAGCTTCATCCATGCCAGGCATATGCTCTCCTACCAAGCCACATCCCTGTCCCTGTGCCTTATTTATTTATTTTTGAGATTTTTGTTTTTGTTTTGGTGCCTCACCTGGCAGTGCTCAGCAGATACTCCTATCTTGGTGATCCTAGCAGTGCTGGGAATCCAGTGCTCAGGATCGAACCCAAACCTCCTGCATGCAAACTGTGGACTCAGCATTTTATGGGGGTATTCTTATTGGGGAGTATACCCAGCAGTGCTTGGGCCCACTCTCATAGCAGTGCTTGGGGGACCATGCAGTGCTGGTGACCATGCCTGAACCTGGGATCCCCACGTACAGAGTGCATGCTCCAGCCCCTTGAGCCATCTCTGCAGCCCATGAACCATTTTTATGATTTTAGTGTTTTATTTTAGGCGCTGTGGTTTACAATACTGATAATGGTTCCTTGCATTATACTTCCAGCACCATACCCTCGCCAGAGTGACCACTTCCCCCAACCGCTGTCCCAGGTTCCCTCCCATCCTGTTCCCCACCACCACCCTGAGCCATTTTAAGTGAGTGTGTGTTATAGTACTATGTAACAGATACTCTGCAGACAGCACTTGGAGAACTAACACTCCAAGAACTGTGACTCTCCTCCACCCAGAGGGAGGCAGTGATGTCTTCCCTGTACTACTCCCATTTGGGGAGTGTAGAAATAACCGTTAGTTGCTTCAGAGAGGTTCAAAATGTCAAAAAAGATCCTTTTAAGAGGCACTGCAGGATAGAAGCATAACAGGGAAATTTTATCCAAGTTTTAAAGAAGCTGACTAGGAGGCTGGGAAAATGGTTCAAAGGGGCTGCAGCAAATGCTTTGCATGTGGGAACCCAGTTCAGTCACAAACCCTACACTGGGAGTAGTCCTGAGCACTGCTGAGTGTGGCCTCAAACCAAAATTTTTTTGATGAAAGAAGTGGGGCCGGAGAGACAGTATAGAGGGCCAGATGCTTGCCTTGCAAGCAGCCAACCTGGGTTACCCTGGCATCCCGTATCCCTGAGCACTGCCAGGAGTGATTCCCCAAGTGCAAAGTCAATTGTAAGCCCTGAGCATCACTGGATGTGGCCTCAAAACTGAAAAGAAAAATGAAAGAAGCTTAAGGGCTGGAGAAATAGTACAGCAGGGAAGACACTAGCCTTGTACATGGGTGACCCGGGTTCAATCCTTGGCACCCTATATGGTCCCCTGAGCTCCACTGGGTGTGGCCGCCCTAAAATATAAATAAATACATAAATCTGTATAATAATGTATGATTTTATTTTCATATTCAATGAGTACATTATGTATATGCAACAGAAAGTGACAAGAAGGATAACACTAGGACAGATTATTTCTGGGTGGTAGGATTGAAAAGGTATTTTTAAAAAAAAAATTTTATTAGTGAAACACCATGAGGTACAGTTGTAGATTTACAAATTTTTGTGCTTGGGTTTCGATTATACAATGATCAAACACCCATCCCTCCACCAACACGGGTCCCAGTATCCCTCCCCCCCACCCCCCCCCCACCTCTGTGGCAGGGCATTCCCTTTTGTTCTCTCTCTCCTTTTGGGTGTTGTGGTTTGCAAAAGAGGCGTTGAGTGGCAATCATGTTTGGTCTATAGTCTACTTTCAGCATGCTTCTCCCATTCAGGGAGCATCCTCCCAACATGAAAGGGCATTTTTGTTTGTTTTTCTTTTTGAGCTTGTTTGGAGGTTCTCGGCAAGCTACCGAGAGTATTCGATATGCCAGACACAGTAACAACAAAGTCTCCAATGGAGACGTTACTGGGCCCGCTCGAGCAAATCGACGATCAACGGGAGGGCCTTTACCTTTACCTTTACCTTGGAGGTTCTAGCAGGGGAGCGCAGCTACTCGTATACCCTCGACCGAAGACCGGTCCGTCTCTATCGGGGAAGGCCGTCCTCTTCGACCGAGCGCGCAGCTTCGGGAGGGACGCACATGGAGCGGTGAGGGAGGAAGGGGACACCCGCCTAGCCAGCCAGATCAGCCGAATCAACCCTGGCGATCAATGGGGTGACAGATGTCGCAGCCAGATCGCCCTGGAGCGATAGCACAGCGGGTAGGGCGTTCGCCTTACACGCGGCCAACATGGCCGACCTGAGTTCGATTCCTCCGCCCCTCTCGGAGAGCCCGGCAAACTACCGAGAGTATTCGATATGCCAGACACAGTAACAACAAAGTCTCCAATGGAGACGTTACTGGGCCCGCTCGAGCAAATCGACGATCAACGGGAGGGCCTTTTCTTTTTGAAAATTTATGTCACTGTTTTTTTCTAATAAGTACCATTTTGGAATAATTTTTTTTAGAAAAGAAACTACTTTAAGAAACAAAATCATCCATGTGCTTATACTTGAGAAGCTTCATATTCTATAATAAAAAGTTGTATTGTGTAGTTTTTATTCTTTCAAATGAATCCTGTCTTGCTTTGGAAATCATGACAAATGGTAGTGCTTTTAAATAAATAAGGGGGCCAGAGCAATAGGACAATGGGTAGGACACTTGCCTTGAACATAGCCTACCCAGGTTTGCCCCCCAGCACCTCATATGGTCTTCCAAACACCACCAAAAATGATCTCAGAGCACAGAGCCATCAGTAAGACATGAGCATCTCTGGGTAGGACCTAAAATTAAAAAGGTAAAGGCCCTCCCGTTGATCATCGATTTGCTCGAGCGGGCCCAGTAACGTCTCCATTGGAGACTTTGTTGTTACTGTGTTTGGCATATCGAATACTCTCGGTAGCTTGCCGGGCTCTCCGAGAGGGGCGGAGGAATCAAACTCGGGTCGGCCATGTTGGCCGCTTGTAAGGCGAATGCCCTACCGCTGTGCTATTAAATTTTAAAAATGAGGAAATAAGAGGGGTCAGAAGATAGTACTGCAGTTAGGGTTACTCCTAGCATGCTTGCATCCTGAGTCCAATCCCCAGAGTACTGAGGGGTGCTCTGGGGATTGGACCTGAAGGCCCCCAGCACCACCACCAGGAGACCTCAGTCATCCAGGCGCTGCTGGGCCAACCTGAGAATCCTCAGAAACCTCAGAATCCTCAGGCTCTGTGATGAAGTGCTGAGTAGCTGAGAGTCCTTCGTGGCTTCCCACGCCTCCTTGCCTCCAAGAAAAAAGAAAGGAAATATGAAGAATTCTGAAATCTACTGTATAAATAATAGAGAATATAGACAATTAGCAAAATAACCATCTACATTCCTACTACCCCAAACAATCACTCTTTTTTAAAAAATGTATTATCTTTTATTTAGTGTTAGTCACACCTGACAATACTCAAGGGTTACTTCTAGCTCTACACTCAGGAGTGACTTCTGGCAGCACTCTAAGGACCAAATGGGATGCTAGGGATCGAACCTGGGTCGGCCGCATGCAAAGCAAGTGCCTTACCTACTGTACTATCTCTCCAGCCCCAAAACAATCACTCCTAATATTGTGGTATGTTCTTTCACTCTTAATACTATGGTAAAAAGGTAAAGTAAAGGCCCTCCCGTTGATCATCGATTTGCTCGAGCGGGCCCAGTAACGTCTCCATTGGAGATTTTGTTGTTACTGTGTTTGGCATATCGAATACGTCGCGGGGAGCTTGCCAGGCTCTGCCGTGCGGGCGAGATACTCTCAGTAGCTTGCCGGGCTCTCCGAGAGGGGCAGAGGAATTGAACTCGGGTTGGCCATGTTGGCTGCGTGCAAGGCAAACGCCCTACCCGCTGTGCTATCGCTCCAGCCCTTATATATTTGGTATATATATGGTATATTCTTAATATTGTGGCATAAATTTTCTTTCAGTTCTCTTTGACTTCTTTTAATAACTATTAATTTTGTAGTCTTACAAACAATTTTTGTTTTTGTTTTACGGACTATAATTGGCAGTACTCAGAGCTTACTCCTGACTCTGCACTCAGGGATCCCTCCTGGAAGGGTTGGGGGACAATATAGGGTGCTGGGGGTCGAACTCAGGACGTGCAGCTCAAGCTCCATACCAACCGTACTATCTCTCTGACCCCTCATCTGCCATTTTAATGGTGCTTCTCCATCTGCACAGCCCATGTGCTTTTCCTATTTTTCTCCTAAGATGTGATCAGGCTAGGCTAAAACTAGTCCTCTCCATCTTCTCATGAAAGACTCAGCAATCCTGGGAATTTCAGCCTCTGTGAACTCACTAGCTAGACCTGCCAGCCACAAGGAGATGGGCTTGCTGAAATGAATTTTCAATAACCAAGAGCAGCTGACCCAACACACAGAACATACCTGGCACACATTAAGGTTCTCTCCCTCGTGTTGCTTCCTTTGGTGGTAGGTGGGGGTGACCAGCCCTCACTGTCCAGAGCCCCTCCAACAGCTGTGTTCCCTGTGAGTGCCCTCAGCTCAGCACGGAGGCCTGGTTTCAGACTGCTTTCTCAGTACTGATGCCACATGCCACAGCAACTCAACTCTAGTTCTTTTCCTTCCTTCCTTCCTGCTTGCCCACCTGCCTCCCTCCCTCCCTCCCATCCATGCTTCCTCCCTCCCTCCCTCCCTCCCTCCCTCCCTCCCTCCCTCCCATCCATGCTTCCTCCCTTCCTCCCTCCCTCCCTCCCTCCCTCCCGTCCTTCCTCTCTTCCTTCTTTCCTTCCTTCCTTCCTTCCTTCCTTCCTTCCTCTCTTCCTTCCTTCCTCTCTTCCTTCCTCTCTTCCTTCCTTCCTTCCTTCCTTCCTTCTTCTCTTCCTTCCTTCCTTCCTTCCTTCCTTCCTCTCTTCCCTCCTTCCTTCCTTCCTTTCTTCTTTCCTTCCTTCCTCCCTCCCTTTCTCCCTCCCTTTCTCTCTTCCTTCCTCCCTCCCTTCCTTCCTTCCTTTCTTCCTTCCTTCCTTCCTCTCTTCCTTCCTTCCTCTCTTTCTTCCTCTCTTCCTCTCTTCCTTCCTCCCTCTCTTCCTTCCTCCCTTCCTCTCTTCCTCTCTTCCTTCCTTCCTTCCTTCCTTCCTTCCTTCCTTCCTTCCTTCCTCTCTTACTTACTTCCTCTCTTCCTTCCTTCCTTTCTTCCTTTCTTTCTCCCTTCCTTCCTTCCTGTTGTTTGTTTTGGTTTGGGGGCCATATTCGGTGATATACGGGGGCTATTCCAAGCTCTGCACTCAGAAATCACTCCTGGAAGTGCTCAGGGGACTGTATGGAGTGCTGGGGATCAAACACAAGTCGGTCACATGCAAGGCAAGTGCCCTGCCCGCTGTGCTATCTCTCCAATCCCTTATATATTTTTTTCTTTCAGGAGGGACTCGGTGGATTCCAAGTCTTCAGCTACCTCCTCTCCGAGGAGGCCATCAGTGGAAAGGTAAAGGAAACCATGGTCAACCGTGTCCCTCTCTCTGCTTTCATGGACAGGCCCAGAGCAGGAAAAAGGGGTAAAACTCATGCAATATGAGGGCGTAAGATGGGAAGTTGCAAAAGGTGAAGAGTGAGGGATGGAAACCATGGGAAGGAGCTGGTCCTCCAGATTGAGGACCCACGTGTAAACCTGACAAGACCCCGAACTCAGAGATGTGACTCCCAAGCTGTTGCCTGTGAATGTTGGGGAACGTTCTTGAGATAAAGTTGAAATTAGTGAGGACAAAGGTCACCAGGACCTGTCCCAGAAGTGGATCTTCAGGTTTGTGTGAAACTGGCCAGACTATCTACCCCGCAGTAGCAGACACACTCAATTGTTCATTCACCAAATATTCCTTGAGTGCTCCTCTGTGCCAGGGGCTGTTCTCGCTATCAGAATTTGTAGCAAACCAAAGAAACCCAAGTCCTGAAATCATGGGGCCTGTATTTTTTTTTATAAGTTTATTATGCTGTTAGTTCATTTCTCATCCACCTTGACTGAATAAAGAGGTGACAGTTACCTGGGTCACCAATGTGCCACGCTTGCTTGATTCATCTTCATCCTCACTGCATCTTCTAGACAGACACACACGGAGAGGCACCGGATGTTCTTTATTCCTCTGATCCAGACACTCTGTGGAGCCTGGTGTCCAGATGCACATTTGGAGTGTCCAGCTCTGCTTGACAAGTTTCTGGATCTCTCTGGGTGCCCACCATTCATGCTTCTTGACGCCCACTCCATGGATTCACTTGTGACTATTGATAACGTATTCTCAGGTCACATCCTCACTGCTGGCAGAATGACCCTTCCTTTTCTCACCATCCTTGTTACCACAGTGAAAAGGAAACAGCTGAGCATACTCTGTGTTCTTTGTTGTTGATGTTGTTTGGCCACACCCAGTAGTGCTGTGGGACTACCCCTGACTCAGTCTACTCAGTGCTCAAGGATACTCTCAAGTAATGCTCAGGGGACCAGGTGGTGCTGGGGATGAAATATGGGGCTCCCACATGCAACTCCAGTCTTTGCGTTGTCTCCCTCACGGTCCCATTTTTTTTTTTTTTGCTTTTTGGGTCACACTTGACAATGCACAGGGGTTACTCCTGGCTCTGCGCTCAGGAATTACTACTGGCGGTGCTCAGGGGACCATATGGGATGCTGGGAATCGAACCCGGGTCGGCCACATGCAAGGCAAACACCCTACCCGCTGTGCTATTGCTCCAGCCCCACGGTCCTATTTTTAAATGGAGAAGCCATACAAAGCATGTAATAAATTGTACACTGGGTAACTTGTGGGGCGGGCACACATCTGGCTACAGTGCAGTGTTCAAAACCATGAACCTGTACTGGTGGAGTGATGGTGGAGACCATGAGAGCCTGGGAGGACCTGCCTGTGTGAAGGGGTACCCACCATCCAACTGCTGCTGGTTGTCCCTTCTTAGAAATGAAGCTCGCCGTATCACATCTTCCAATATTTAAAGGAAATCTGGACATCCAGATGGACATAGGAAACTCCCAATTTTGAATGTTGGTGACATATTTCTACAGTATGTTTCTAAGACCCTGCAGAGCAAACAAAACCTATTGTATCCTTCCCGTTTGCAATCTCTAAGCCCAGGCAGAAATTTAAACTACTGATCATCTCTGCCTTAGTAGAGCTAGCCACTTGTATAGAGAAGGCTAAGATGCTTGGTTTGGGAAGCTAAAACACACAATGGGAGCATAGAACTCGTCTTCGTGTGTCCCGAGGGTTAAAGGAGGCTTGCTGGAAGAGGATGTTCATGCTGAGAATAGCCAGTTGAGTAGAAGTTTGCCTGACACAGACAAGCCAAGAGAGGGCATCCCAGACAGAGGAAATAGTATGAACAAAGGCGTGGCGTTCTGAGTGAGCACGGGGCTCTGGAGCAACAGTAGACAGAACAGAAAAGGCACCTTTGTTATGGGAAAGGCTGCCCTTAGGACCCAGCAGTAGGAATTGGTTGGCGGGTTTTCCCAGAGCTATTCGGGCTTTCTTGGTGATGCAGTTACTGAAATGGCCTCGAGGTGGCGCTCTGGAGCAGCGAACCGGACCTCCGAGCTCCTCTGCGTTCGCTGGTGCCCGCACGTTTCGCCAACAGAAATGAGCTGTTGATAAAGCCACCTCCCACCCCCGCCTTCTCTGCAGTTTGGTGCAGTTCCCAATCGTGTGCACTGAAAGCAAAATGAGCGTGGCTGCCTGAAATGCCACCCAGACACGAATTCCAGCCCGCCAGCGGGCTTCTGGCCAGGAGGAGGGGCCAGAATGGGGAGCTCCCGGCCAGAAAGGTGGGGGTGAGGCAGGGCTGCTGCAGCAAGCAGCCTAGTTTCGCCCAGTAAGGACACTCTAGGAAGCTGCCTTTTAGAGTCACGGTGAGATGCACTGAAAAGAATTAGGAAGCCAGGTTTGTGATCTGACTGCAGTTGGCCAGCAGGATAGTTAAGACACCTCTCCAGGGCACTGTGTTGACCATGGGAGGTAGCGAAATGCTGAGCCCTCTTCCTAATCCATATAAATGCTTGGCCAGTGTAGGGTGCTCAGGCAGAATGCTCACTCTGAATGCGGAAATGTCTGTGAATGGTCGGCTCGTTTCCTGCTGGAATTTCCCTCATGCTTTCACCTTTTTTAACAACTCCATAAATTAATCGCTTAGAAGGAGGCACCTAGAATTTATGAAACTCGCCCCAGGTCAGGCAGAGACAGATATAATGCCGGGCTCTGAACCCATGAGTCTGGCTTGGTAGCCTGAATTCTGAAAAAGCAGACCACCCCAGTGAAGATGTTCCCCAAATGAAGCCTGCTGTACTGCTTGTTGTAACACCTCCTTCCAAGCGACACACTGCAAGGGGCCACAGTGGTGGGTTCCTCTCGTGAGTCCTTGACACCAAGGATGGTGACTGAGGTACATACATAGAGAGCCAGGTTGAATCTCAGCCATAGGAGATGGGGGGGGAGGGGTGCCGTCCAGGTCGTGGGAGTTAACATGAGACTTCCCTGTCTTAAGCCCAGAGGGTAGGGACACTGACATTGTAAGTGGGGCTTGCCTCCTGTCCCATGATTTCTGTCTGGACACCTTCATGTATTTCGTTTTGTTTGTTTGCTTTGAGGCCACACCCAGCTGTGCTCAGGCACTATATCTCGTTCTCTAGTGTGTGGGGGGTAGGGGTGGGGGTTGTCACCTCTGGTGGTACACAGAAGACCATGTGATGTGTGGGAGAAACCCAGGCTTTCTGCATGCAAAGCACATGTTCCAACGCTTTGAATCATCTCCCAAGTTCCCCTTGAATACTTGTCAGCAACCTAAACCCATGCTATATCCCTGCCCCCAACCCAGGTTCATCAAGGACCCACCTAGAGCAGCACCTGGCGTCCCAGGTGCTGAAAGACAGTGGGGGAACCAGTCCATGGGCCCCTGGACAGGAGAGGGAAGCTGGCAATGTTTATCAACACAAACAAGCTAATTATAGACTTGCTCAAGTGCTTATGAATGAAAGAGTTCTGGTCATGTGCTAGAAAGTGGCAGGACAGGGACTTGTGCCTTGGTGGTGTGGACAGGAAAAGCCTTCATAGAGATGTGACATTTGAGCAGAGGCCTGGCAAGCAGGAAAGAACCAGGAACAGGGAAATCTCTTTGAAGGAGGAATAGCTCTCAGGAGGAGGACCAAGTCGGTGCAAAGGCACTGTGACAGGAAGGCTGGGCCTGTGTACAGGACAGAAAGAAACAGCGGAGGAGGGGCTTTGGGAACTGTGAGTAGAGTGTGGCATGAGATTAGATCAGAGGGGAGGCAGGCACAGATGTGGATGGGCTGGAGGTCATGATGTGGACTTGGACTTCGTGCTGAAATCAGTCAGGAGCACAGGAGGGATGGACCAGCTGCCATGTTTGAAAGGGCCGTCTGGCTGCCCTAGGGCAAATGCATTACCAGGGGGTGAGAGGAGGCAAGGATAGCAGGGCAAGATCTTGGGGTCATTGTGGCTGTGTCTGCCCATGAGCTGGGCCACTATTGGGTACAGGGAAATTCCTGCTAGCTGCAGGTTGCCCCTTTTACTCTCACCTGGACTCGAGACATTCTCCTCTTCCCAGCCTTTTTTGACTCTTACCTCTTCCCTTCTGCTGAGCTCTGAGTCCTGTGAGAGCCCGCTGGACTTTAGCATCCCTATCCCTCCTACCAGGCTGTCAGTGACTCCCTAGGTCACTGTCACTGTCACTGTCCTCCTGTTGTTCGTCGATTTGCTCGAGCGGGCCCAGTAACGTCTCCATTGGAGACTTTTGTTGTTACTGTGTTTGGCATATCGAATACATCACGGGCTAGAGCGATAGCACAGTGGTAGGGCGTTTGCCTTGCACGTAGCTAACATGGCCGACCCGAGTTCGATTCCTCCGCCCCTCTCGGAGAGCCCGGCAAGCTACCGAGAGTATCTCGCCCGCACGGCAGAGCCTGGCAAGCTACCCGTGATGTATTCGGCGCCCTAGGTAGAATCCAGAATAAGTGGGTCTAGCACAGTGAGGCTCAAACTGCAGCAATGAATAAACACAAGGTATGAAAACCTTTTTTTTTTTAATTTATTTATTTATTGAATCACTGTGGGAAAAGTTACAAAGCTTTCAGGTTTAAGTCTCGGCCATGCAACTATCAAACACATTTCCCTTTACCAATGCTTATTATGAAAACCTTTCGAACAAAACTATTGGCCCCCTTCTCTTACACCCATGTGGCAGCACTGAGGCGCTTTGGAGGAATTTCTGGGCTTTAGAGACTACAAAAGCCCTCAAGGTATGTGAGGTGATCCAAGGTCAGGCCAAACTGGGACAGGCTGAGAGGATGGACCACTCGACAGAACGAAGGCGGTAGGAATGATCTTGTTGTCCCTGGTCTTCAAGAAGGGAAGCCTGTGTTACCCCACCGATTTCAGTCAAACAACTCCTTGGGCCTGAAATACTTTGTCAAAAGCTCTAGGCCTGCCAGGCTGTGGCCTGTACAGCTGCAAAAGGTAGCCTGGTAACCATGTAGACGATGCCCACAGAGTCAGGAAATGTAGCAGTGTGATGAGATGCTGTAGCAGAGTGGGAGCAACTGCTGAGTTTGTTTTTTCTTAGGAGGCCCGAGAGGTTGATTTCTAAGTCCTGGCAGGTCACTGAAAGAGAGAATTGAGGAACCAAGAGATGGAGGTGGAGACCATCTTGTCTGCTTGATCCCTCTGCCGCAGGGGGATAGAAATAGCTACAGCTATTAGAAATAGCTCTGAGATGAGAGTCGCGCAATGCCGACTCTCATCAGCCAGAGCAGGCCAGAGGGTGGTCCCTGAGCGCAGGCCAGGAAGCCAGTCCTGAGCATCAAAAACAAACACAAGCAGACCAGAGGGCCCAGAGTGGGATTCGGGAGGGTAAGGCAAGGATACAGCGTTTGCTTTTTCTCTCACTGACCCCGGTTCTCATTCCCGACATCCCATAGGGTTCCCTGAGCACTTCCAGGGATCATTCCTGAGCACAGAATCAGGAGTCAGCCCTGGGCACCAGTAGGTCAGGGTCCCCAAATAAAACAACAGCAGACTGGTAACTTGTGGTTCTCTGTGTTGTGGAGAGGAATGAGTGGCACACTGGTGGCAAACGCTGCCCTGTGTTCCTGTCATTCTTAAGCCCCAGAGACTGGCCAGAACCATTTTTTTCTTCTCTTTTTCTAAAATTTTTTATTAAAGAGTCATGATTTACAAAATTACTGATAGTTGAGTTTTAGGTGCACAATAATTCAACACCAATTCTTCCACCAGTGTCAACTTCCCTTCACCATTATTCCCAGATTCCCTCCCATCCCATCCCCCACTCCACCCCCGCCCCCCCCCCCCCCCCCCCCCCCCCCCCCGCCAGCTGTCAACTTCACAGGTACATTACAAAGTTTCAGTGGTTGATGCTTAGGTCTCATGCTTTCAGTTTTGTTGATCTATGTTTTGGATATATGGCTATAACCCTCAGTCATATCACTGGTATAACTGAGGCCCTGATGCCTGCAGAACATTCCCCACCCCCCCCAGCTCTCTCACCCTTCTGCTACAGCTATCCTGAGCTCCTTGATATTGCCCACATGAACCAGGGATTTTGTCGCTTCTGTGCATTTCTGCTAAGCATGCATCGCTTCTTTCCTTCTCTGAGTGACCACCTCCTACTTCAACCTTCGGCTAGACTTCTTGGGCTCAATAAGATTTTCTTTTTTAGGGTCTGAAGCCATAGTACAGTGAATAGGGCACTTGCCTTGCATGCAGCTGACCCAGGTTCAGTCCTTGGCAACCTATATGGTCCCCTGAACACTGCCAGGAGTAATTCTGGAGTGTAGAGTTAGGAGTAACCCCTGAGCATCCCTCACCCCCAATTTTTCTTTCTTTTGTTTTTTGGCTTTGGGGTCACACCAGTGATGCCCAGGGGTTATTGGTGGAAGAATTCCTCTGCACTCAGGAATTACTCCCGGTGGTGCTTGGGGTACCATATGGGATGGCAGGGATTGAACCCAGGTGGGTTGCATGCAGGCAAACGCCCTACCCACTGTATTATTGATCCGGCCCCCTTTTTAATTTCTAATTTAAAATTTTTATTTTTTGGTGGGGGCTCATTCCCAGCAGTACTCAGGGTTTACTCCTATCTTTGTGTTTAGAAATCATTCCTGACAGTGCTTGTGGTATCGTATGAGATGCTGGGCAATTATATGGTCAGTTGCATGCAAGACAAATGCCCTTCCCATTGTACTATTGTTCTAGCCCCTAAATTTTTTTGTAGTGAGGGGCACACCAGGTAGTGCTCAGAGCTTATTCCTGGCTCTGCACTCAAGGATCACTCCTGGCAGAGCTCAGGAGACCAATAGGGTAACGGGATCAAACCCAGGTTGGCCGTGTGCAAGGAAAAAAATTTTGTTGCTGTTTTGGGGTCAGTTGTGTTCAGGGTTTGCTCCAGCTCTGTGCTCAGGATCATTCCTGGCAGGGCTCGGGGAACGTATGGGGTGTTGGGGATTGAACCCAGGTCAGCACGTGTAAGTCAAGCACCCTACTGGCTGCACTATCTCTCTGGCCCCCACCATCAGGGTTATTAACTACTGGTCTGTGGACTAGTGCTTGAATGGGTGCTGATTTCCAGGCATAAAAAGGTTAAACACCCTAATTGAGAATCAAGATTCTTCAACTAGACTAAATTATGGGTTGCAACCCAATACAGATTTGTGTAACGTTTAGAAATGTTCTTTAAAATTAAAAAACTGCAATTTATTATTAATAAATGTTTGATTTATATATCTATTTATATACCTATATATTCAGGGTCACATAAACATTTCTGTGATTAAATAAAGTGGTTTGGGGCTGGAACAGTAATATCAATGGCATGGTGCTTGCTTTGCACAAAGCCAATTCTGGTTTGATTCCCACATATGGTCCAAGCCCTGCCAGGAATGATCCCTGAGCCCAGAACCAGGAGTAAACCCTGAACACCACTGGGTGTGGCTCCTCATGGGGGAGAAAAGGGGGGGGTGGCTAATGGGAAAAGTTTAAGAAGCCCTGGTTGAGAGAATAGATACCTAATTCCAACTTCATGGGTTTCAATTCTAGCTCTCTTGGTTTCTAACTCTGTGACCTGAGTCATCTTATTTTAAGTGCGTCTGTCTCTAAAATTCACTAAAATATGCAGCTCTAAATGGGGATAAGAGTCGAACCACATCATTGAGTTGCTGGGAGAGTTAAATGCAAACATCTAGCATGATGCTCAAGAAATGATTGATTTGCTTAATGTCACACTGTTTATTGCTGACTGTCATTCTCAGATCAACCAGCAGCAAATCGAAAGCAGAGAGTCCCAAAACGCCCAGCAGCCCCTTAACCCCTACTTTTGCCCCTTCCATCTGCCTCCTGGCGCCATGCTATCTCACTGGGGATTCTGTCCGGGACAAGTGCGTGGAGATGCTCTCAGCAGCCCTAAAGGCAGACGGTAAGAGGGTTGTAAGAGGGCATGGACCAGACATGGGTGGGAAGTGCTTCGCAAAGTGAGGGCACTACCATCTTTCTCTGTCCTGGGGGTTATATGGGGCGCCATGGATCCATGGGCTGATGTCTGTTTTCCGAATCTCTTTTAGATGACTACAAGGACTATGGGGTCAACTGTGACAAGATGGCATCAGAAATTGAAGATCATATCCTTGAGCCATGTCATGGCTATGGGGGTCTGCACTGCCAAGGAACCCAAGAGGGAGGGGGGAGCGAAGACTCAGGACAGCTCTCTGGGGTCCCCAGGGCCAGAATTCTTCCCTCTGCTAGCGCTGATGAGTCCCGCACCTGCCAGTTTCCAGCTACACGGTTTGGGAGTTGCACATAATTGACACTGAAAGCAGTGCCCAAATCAGGCTCCCTGATACACCCCACTTTCACGGGGAAGATTAAGTAAACTCAGGGAGGTTCATTGTCTTGCCCAAGTTCGCACAGTGAAGAGGAATGGCAGAGTTGAGAGGTTTTTCGTTTTGGTTTGTTTTGGACCATACCCGGCAATGTTCAGGGGTTACTTCTGGCTCTGTACTCAAGGAATTACTCCTGGCAATGCTTGGGGCCCCATATGGGATTCTAGGGATCGAACTTGGGTCCACTGTGTGCAAGGCAAGTATAAGGCTATACTTTTTCTCCAGCCCAAGGGGTGAGGACGACGGTGGTGGTGGTGGTGGGAAACGGGTGTTGAACCTGAAATGATGATTCTGGAAGCAAAGGGCCCTGTTACCAGGCACAACAGACCATGTCATATTAAGCATGGACTATGCAGTCATGTAGCTGGGCAGACAGAGGACAGCCTTGCTCCTGCTAGCTTCCCCTCTCTTCTGTCCTTTCCCATTTTGGATTCTCTGCCAGGCTCCTCTGCACTGTGAGAGGCAGTTGACCTGCTTGCAGAAGAGAGCCCAGGTGCAGGACTGTGGCTGTCAGAGCTGAACTGAAAGCTTTGGTCTTTGGATTCCACAGCCTGAGCTCATTTCCCATCTCCCACTCTTTGAATGGGGGCCTGGGGAGACAGAGGAGGCCACCACCTGTATTTTATGGGCCCCGGGCACCAAAAGCTTTTTGTATTAGAGAACAAGAAATCCTTCCCCACTGCGCCCCACTAAATGACTGAGTGTGTGGAATGTCTTTTAGGGGCAGACAAAGCTTTGCATGTCAAAGAGATGTTGAGGGGGGCACAAAGAATCCCCTGGTCCAAGCATCATGCTGAGATCTAATTGGGCTTTTTTGTGACCTCCCAGGCTCTTCCTAAGGAACTCAGGGAGGAGTGAGGAGTCCGTTGGGAGGGTCAGGAAAACTTGCCCCCATCTCCTGCCCGAGGTCCACCCTCTCAGCTGCCAGCGCCTCTCCTGGGCATTACTTTCATCATCATTTCATTATTAACCAACACATGCTGCTGATTAGTAACATTATTAACACCTCACCCAGTACATTTTCTTCATCTCAGTTGATTCAAGAACATAGGTGTCAGAATGGTCCTGAGCTTTGTCTTTGCTTTCTCCAGAAAATTTCCCTGTAAGAGATCCTTTCCACCTTCCTGCACGTCCCACTCCCCATTGCTTGACTGGCCTTTGAAGGGGAAGAAATCAAAGGCACTTCCACCAGCCTTGTTGCTTTGTTCTCAGATAGAGCAAGCTCAGGGGAGCATCAGTTGATGGGCGGGGAGGGTCTGTGTCCTAAAGAGCCCTTGTCCTGGACTCACATGCAGTGGTGGGGCTCCCGAGGGCTCTTCTGGGGGAGTCAAGGATGCCCAGGTCTGTGCCCCACCTTGTCCTCCCCTGTGATCTCAGGAAACAGGAGACGGTTTCAGGAAGAGTCTACTAAAAGTGTGGTGGGCCCTGTTGTCTCCCCCCGATCTAATAAGCACACTCCTTCAGGAATCCCGGACACAATTGTTTGGTTGGCTTTTTGGTTTGTTTCTGGGCCACACCCGGTGATTCCGGCTGGGGGTAGGATGGGTGGTGTTCATGTGGTGCTGGGAAGCACAGAGGGTTTAAAGCCATTGCAGTGGGCCAGAGATAGGAAGACGCTTATTTTGTTTGTGGCAGTCCCAGGTTCGATCCCTGGCACTACATATGGTTCCCTGAGCCAGGAGTGACTCCTCAACACAGAGCCAGGAGTAAGCCCTAAACATCACCAGGTATTACCCCAAAACAAAAACAAAAACAAAAACAAAAAATAGGAAGCAAATCAAATACATTATAGTGTATTTATTGTCTTCCCTGATTTTTTTTTACAGCAATGTTAGAATCATATAACAGGGAAAATAACTAACCTCCCTTTTCCTCCTCCCCTCCTAGCAAGCCAGCCCTTTCTATTCGCCTGTGTTCCCTGCAGACTCTTTCTTGTACACGCTTTTTCCCAGCAAAGGCTTCATCTTCCTGATTCTGCTTGGCTCCAGGAGGCCAAGAAAATGCAGCTGCGTTCCCCTAGCGCCTGGGGAGGCTGGAGAAGGGAGGAGGGGTGGAGGTCGGGGAGGCCTGGCTGGGATGGTGTCTAGACAGAGAGCTCTCTGTGGTCGGTGGCCCAGCGACTTCCTGCTGGGAGAGTGGAGAGAGCATTACCGTTAGGAGGGGGGCTGGCTTCCAGCCCTGGCTCTGCCAGGAATTTGCTCAGTGACCTTGAGCAAAGGCCTGCACCCTCAGCTTCCTCATCTGTTAATGAGAGAAGTAAGACAGCATCAAATCCCAAGGTGATTTGCATGAGATGGTAATAGGTATTTTAGGAGAAAAGGTGGGAAGGACTGCAATCTCTTAGAAACACCAGATTAAACAAGTGCAAAAACTTGTTTATTGCAATGCTCCTTAGAACCTATGTGGCTTGTAATTTTAGCCTTTTTAAAAAAATTTTTATTAGTGAGACATCATGAGGTACAGTTATAGACTTACAAATTTTTGTGCTTAGGTTTCAATTATACAATGATCAAATACCCATCCCTCCACCAGCGCCCATTTCCCAACACCACGGATCCCAGTATCCCTCCCACCCCCATTCCCCCCATCCCACCCTGCCTCTGTGGTAGGACATTCCCTTTTGTTCTCTCTCTCTCTTTTTTTTTTTATAAAAAAGGTTGTTAGTATTTTTTTTTTATTTTTGCTTTTTGGGTCACACCCGGCAATGCACAGGGGTCACTCCTGGCTCTGCGCTCAGAAATTACTCCTGGTGGTACTCGGGGGACCATATGGGATGCTGGGAATCAAACCGAGGTCGGCCACGTGCAGGGCAAAGGCCCTACCTGCTGTGCTATCGCTCTAGCCCCTTGTTCTCTCTCTCTTATTGGGTGTTGTGCGAAATGACTCAGAAAGAAAGGGATAGACATAGAAAGATTGCATTCATCTGGGGAACATAAAGTAACAAAATAGGAGACTAACACCCAAGAATGGCCGAGATTAGTACCAGGAATTTTACTCCATGGCTTGGAGGCCAGTCACACATGCTAGGGGAAAGGGGAGCTCAGATAGAGAAGGGAGCACCAAATAAAGGGTGTTGGGAGGATCCTCCCAAGATGGGAGAAGCATGCTGAAAGTAGACTATAGACCAAACATGATTGTCACTCATTGCCTCTTTTTTTTTTTCAACTGGATGTATAAGTTCCAGAAGCCTCAAGACTAGAAGTTTCTTTATTGCCATCATTTTTTGAGGGGGGGTGCCACCCTCATAGAGTGCCTAGAGTCACTCCTGGAGCAGTACTTGGGGTCATTTATGGAAGAATTTGGGGACCCTGTGGTGCTGGGGATGGACCTGTGTCTCTTCTACCTGCAAAACCAGTGCTCAACCCTTTGAGTCCTCTCTCCAGTCTGGCCACTGTCATCTTACCAGCCCCTAAATGCTAGGCACAACCAGTGGCACCCTAACGCTTAGCTCCCTGAATCCCTACGGTCATCCTACATATTATAAATAGGGAAACTGAAATACAGAGAGATCATAGGACTGACCCCCAGATACCCATGAGAGTTCCGCCTGGAGGTTGGGCCATAAAGGTTCCTGACCCCTGTGCAAGTCTAAAGAAGAAAGAGATGGCTCTAGGGCTCCTCGGGCTTCAGGATGAAGCTCTCCACTTGCAAGTGACAGCCTGGCCCTTGACCGAATCACATATCTACCAGGAACTCAAGAGCACGGACATGAAGTATCGGAACCGGGTGCGTAGCCGCATCAGCAACCTCAAGGACCCCAGGAACCCCGGCCTGAGGCGCAACGTGCTCCGCGGTGCCATCTCTGCTGGGCTCATCGCCAAGATGACAGCTGAGGTAAAGGGGGAAGGGCAGGGCCAGGACAGGCCTGGAGCAGATGGGGTGTGGGGCAGGCCTGGCCCAGCCCGGTGCTCTAAGCCTGAGGAGTCTCAGTGGAGGGAGCCAAGTCGCTTCTCAGCTAGACCATCTCCAAGCAGCTAAGTGAACACAGCTGACAGGCACTTGGTGCTGGACTAAGCACACAGTAGGTGCATGGTCCAGGTTTTTTTTTAAATTTTTATTAGTGAAACACCATGAGGTACAGTTGTAGACTTACAAATTTTTGTGCTTGGGTCTCAGTTATATAATGATCAAGTACCCATCCCTTCACCAGTGCCCATTTTCCATCACCACGGGTCCCAGTATCCCTCCCACCCCCCATTCCCCCATCCCACCCTGCCTCTGTGGCAAGGCATTCCCTTTTATTCTCTCTCTCTCCTTTTGGGTGCTGCGGTTTGCAAAAGAGGCATTGAGTGGCAATCATGTTCGGTCTATAGTCTACTTTCAGCATGCTTCTCCCATCCTGGGAGGATCCTCCCAACACCCTCTATATGGTGCTCCCTACTCTATCTGAGCTGCCTTTTCCCCTAGCATGGGTGGCTGGCCTCCAAGCCATGGAGTAAACCTCCTGGTACTTATCTCAGCTATTCTTGGGTGTTAGTCTCCTATTTTGTCTCTTTATGTTCCCCAGATGAATGCAATCTTTCTATGTCTGTCCCTCTCTTTCTGACTCATTTCGCTTAGCATGTAGTACCACTTGTATGTAAATTTCATGACTTCTTCTTTTCTAACAGCTAAATAGTTCTCCATTGTGTAGATGTACCAAAGTTTCTTTAACCAGTCATCTGTTCTCGGGCACTCAGTTTTTTTTCCAGATTCTGGCTATTGTAAAGAGTGCTGCAATGAACAAACAAGTGCAGATGCCACTTCACTATACTTTCTTGCCTCTCTGGGATATATTCCCAGGAGTGGTATTGCTGGGTCAAATGGGAACTTGATTTCTAATTTTTTGAGAATCATCCATACTGTTTTCCAAAAGGACTGAACCAGTTGGCATTCCCACCAGCAGTGAAGGAGGGTCCCTTTCTCGCCACATCTGCACCAGTAACATGGTCCAGTTTTAATCGCCAGGCCAACTGGGGCAGAAACGTTTATTCCCATTTTACAGATAGGGAAATGGGTTGGTAGGAGTATCTAGACAATTGTAGAGGGAAGTAGATCCTCTACAATTCTACTCAGTTGAAAGACCTGGTGTTGGAATGGTGCATGCTGCGTTCAGGAACTACGCTTTGCAGTGTGGTACTTTGCAGTACTCCAGTGGCAGCTGGTTTGCCCATATATGCAGGTAGCACATGTACAAGTCAGGATGAGAACTGTCTGGCCACAGAGCATTCTCTCCTCACTGCTCTGATCTCTGCCTCCCTATCCTGCCTTGGTCAGTCCCATATAGCCCATTACTCAACTCTGACCCAAAATCAGATTGGTGGCCCTTCAACCTCACCTCAACTCAGTTCAAGGTGGGGAAATTACAATTGTGAACACAGAAAGTTCAGACCTATGATGCGTTGATATACAATTTTGTGGGTTTTTTTTGGGGTGGTGGGTGGGAGGTCACACCTGGCAATGCTCAGGGACTGCTCCTGGCTCTGCACTCAGAAATTATTCCTGGTGGTGCTCAAGGGACCATATGGGATGCCAGGAATCTAACCCAGGTTAATTGCATGCAAGGCATATGCCCTACCCATTGGATTATCGCTCTGGTCCCAGATATACAATTTTTGCCCTCACAATGGTGTGAGGGCAGCATTCACTAGACACTATAATTTGAGTTTTGAGCGTTGGCCTCTTCCTGGGCTTGTGATCTGTGCCCAGACCTCTTTTGGGATGCCCGGCAGCAGCAGCATCAAGCCACACCCCTCTGTCAGCCTCGTGGCATGAGAGTACACCATGGTTTTCTCAGTGTTCTGTGTTGCCAGAATTTCTTTACTATTGTGCTCGAGTTTTGGCCTCTTGACATGTCTCCAAAAGCGCCCATCTGTGTCTCAGATACTCAAAAGTTTTAAAATTGTTCTTGGGGGACCTAGAGGGATAGAACAACAAGTAGGGCATTAGCCTTGCACACGGCCAACCTGGATTCAATCCTTGGCATCCCATATGATACCAAGGTAAATTGGACCAGATTGGAACAGAGCTTGGCATCTAAATTAGGACAAAGACAGACCCTAAAAGTCTCACAAGAGCAGCCAGCCAATCTAGAGACATGGATGAATACTGGCCCCACATCTCAAGACTGTTCCCTACAACAAGGAAGAGAATGAGGTTATCAATCCAGACTCAAGAAGAGACTCATCAGAACAAGGGAGCAAGCCATGAACTTAGCAGCTCTCTCTAGGGACTGCCAGGACAGGCTGCTGGGCCCCAAAGTGTGCACAGCAAACACCTTACCTGTTATACTCTCTCTGCCCCTACATTTTGTTTTCTGTTTTTTGTTTGTTTGTTTTTTGCCAAACCCAGTGATGCTGCGGAGCAGTTTTTGGCTCTATGCTCAGGGGACCATATGTGTTACAGTAAACCCAGAATGCAAAGCAAGCACCTTATCTGCTACACTATAACTCTGGCCCTCCAATACATTTGAATGAGCAAATGTATTCAAATCTGGGGGTTGGAGAGATAGCACAGCGGGTAGGGCGTTTGCCTTGCACACGGCTGACCCGGGTTTGTTTCCCAGCATCCCATATGGTTCCCTGAGCACCACCAGGAGTAATTCCTGAGTGCAGAGCCAGGAGTAACTCCTGTGCATTGTCGGGTATGACCCAAAAAGCAAAAAAAAAAAAATAAAAGGTATTCAAATCTGGAAAATACCTACAAATTGAAGTCAGTGGTCTTTGCTTACATGGCTTTGGTTATACTTGGTTTTGTATATTCCTCATCCATTAATTAGGATCCCTTGAATTTAAGACAGAGCAGCAGTATAGTATGACATAAAGTACAATAACTTTAGTGCCACAAAACTGGGACTGGAGAGACAGTACAGGGGCTAAGGCACTTCTCTTGCATCCCACTGACCCAAGTTCAATCCCTGACAGCACATATGGTCCCCACTAAACACTGCCAGGAGTGACTCCTGAGCATAGAACCACAGATAAGCCCTGAACACCACTACTTATGAGCCAAAATCATAAAAATAACAGGGGCAAGTAAAAATTATATTCCTACAGAGCCACCTGATCTTTGCTGGTCCCCTTATTCTTGCACACACACTTGCCTTGCACACAGCTAACCCAGTCTGATTCCTGGCAGTGAGCTCAGGTCCCCTGGGCACTGCCAGGAGTGATCCTTAAAGTGCAGAGCCAGGAGCTGAGTATTACCAGGTGTGGACACAAAACAAAAATTACATTTCTGGGCCTATACCTTGAAATTTTGAATTCATGGAATCTGTGATTTATCAAGAAGCCCCAGTGGCCTGATGCAGTTGTGAGCAGCTCATTAACATCACTTGACCTTTGTGTCCATTCTGTTCTTTATGATTTAAGGAGTCAGGATAGAAAGCAACAGTGAAAATGCTGAGCCAGAACCAGATGCGCATTTTAATATGAGACTCAGTTCCTTTCCTTGACAGCAACCCTAACTAGGATTACTTTTACTGCAGTGTTTTATCTTCTGGCAGAGGTTTAAGGGAAATGAGTAGAGAAGGAAAGAACCTAGATAATACAAAGGCTGAGCATCCACAGTTAACTGATGAAAACAGAGACCAACATGTTCTGTATCACACCCACAGGTAAGCAGTGGGTTGTGTGCACCCATGAGCTTCAAGTCCTGCTTGGGTGGAAGAAGCAGCTGCGAGCCATGGATAGTTGAGCCCAAGGATCCCTCTTGGCAGAATGGGCTGAGCACATGGCAGTGTGATCACAATTGGAACAGGCATTGGATCAGTCCTGACAGGAAGAATAAGGGGACCAGCAAAGACAGGTGGTAGCTGGGGACGTCAGCTCAAGCAGGAAGGTTCAGATAGGTATCCAAGGTTCTGACTGACCATGTGAATTGCAGATCTGAGGAAATGTACAAATGAGTGTTGATTCTGGGGTAGAAATTACTTGCTTTCTGCTTTCTTTCATGTGCCTGAGTGCATGTGGCAGAGTCAGAGCCCCGCCCCAGATTTGACTTTGGACTTACATAAAGATGCACTAGAGACAGTTTATATGGCACCCTTTTCCAGCAGGGGCAGAGCCAGGGTCCAGGTCTTTCTCCAGGATCTTGTATTTGTGCATCCAACATATTTCCTTCATTTCCGGTCAGGCACTTGGAGACCACGTGTGGGCTAGGACCCCTGGAGCTCCCCAGCCCTGAAAGGTACATTTCTTTCTCTCCAGGAAATGGCCAGTGATGAACTGAGGGAATTGAGGAATGCCATGACTCAAGAAGCCATCCGTGAGCACCAGATGGCCAAGACAGGTGGTACCACCACTGACCTCTTCCAGTGCAATAAATGCAAGAAGAAGAACTGCACCTATAACCAGGTCTGCAGTAGAGGGGAGAGCATGGGAGGGAAGAGAAGGTATTCCCAATGCAGGGAGGATCCAAGAGAGTGTAGGAAACAGTCAGGGAGAGAATATGGGCTAAATAAAGCTTCAGGCTGCAGAGAGAAGGGCACATCTTGGTATCCCCACTATATATACTATGGCCTCTTGAAATGTTCTTTTGCATGCCCCATCACCCAGGTTTGTGTCTGTGAGCAGTGACCAGTGTATTCTGTCCTGCCCCCAAAGCGACTGTAAGAGAAACAGACTCACAGGGCTCAGACGGTCAGAAGAAAATTTCCAGTATCCATCTGGGCTCTCTCATTTCACAACAGGGAGATTTAATTCAGACAAGGGTTCGACTTTGAGGGTTATGCCCAACATGGCAAAGGGTCATTACAGTAATGATATTCAGATCTTGCCGCCTACAATACAGATAGCTTAGTTAAGAGAAGGATTTGTCCCAAGGTCTATGGCTGAACACTGACCTTGGCTCCACCGAGGGGAGCCTTGAAAATCTGGGGAAGCCCTTCTTCTGAAAGACTTAAAACCAGAGAACAGGAGCAGGAGAGACAGTATAGCAGGTAGGATGCTTGCCTTGCAGGCAACAGACCCGAGTTTCAATTCCCAGAACAACATATGGCCCCATATTCTTGGATTCTAGTTAGCATCTAGAACATGCTTGAATCTCTTTATTTGGCCATATACTTGGTAAGAGAGAGTTATCAAGAGCACTTTGCCCATAGTGGGCTCATGGCCACACAGAGGACACTCGGCCTGGTGTCCAGCAGGAGGACCTTGGAGAATGTCTGTGAGAGGTGGGCGTGTTGATGCTCTCTCCTGCTCTCTGCCAAGCACATTTCCATGCGATGTGCTTCCTGGTATTCTCCCCGAGATGTCAGTATCTCCAGGGACAAAGCTCTGCCAGCTTGTCCTAGCTGGCTGGGTTCATTTCTTGGCTGGGGACTCTATCCCACACCACAGCCTCCCAGATACCATCCCTCATAGATGAATGTCAGCACAGTAACTTGCTATAGTCAGGAGCAATCTGGGCTTGCCATAGAGAATCAGAAGAGTAAGCATTGGATCTGAAAGTGCCAGGGGGTTGTGCATGTTGGTATAACCAAATAATTAAGGGGACAAGAAATCAGAAGGCATAAATATTGAAATAGCTCCAATGCTCTTAGAATCTTTTTTCCTCTCTGGGATCCAGTTCTTCTGCCTGTAAAATAAATAGTGAGGCTGGGGAGACTTCTCAAAGGGCTGGGTACAGACTTGCTATGAGGAGGCCTGGGTTTATCCCTGCTATCACATGATTCTCAGAACACTCCCAGGAATGACCCTTGAGCACTGAGTGGGAGTACCCCCTGAGCAATGCTGAGTGTTGCCCCCAAACAAATAATAAATGGGGCTGAAGAGATAAAGAGCGGGTAGGGTCCTTGTCTTGCATGCAGCTACTTGGGTTCAATCCCTGGCATCCTATATGGTCCCTGAGCATGGCCAGGAGTAATTCCTGACTGTAGAGCCAGGAGTAACCCCTGAGCATTGCTCCGTGTGACCAAAAAACAAAACAACAACAACCCCCCTTCCAAATAACAAATAATAAAGACATAAATAAGGAATGAATGAAATGACTTTTCTTAATTGTTTTGGGGCCAGACCTAGAGATCCTCAGGGCTTACTCCCAGCTCTGTGCTCAGGAATCACACCTAGTGGGCTTGCAGTCCATATGTGGTTCTGGGATTGAACTAGGTCATCCATGTGCAAGACAAGCATCTTTCCCACTGTAATACCTCTGCAGCCCAAGCTATGTGAGCTCTAAGGGTGCTTCCAGCTCAAGTGAGTCCTAATCAGGGAGGCTATCCAAATAGACTGTGCTGTGGTGAGTCAGGAAGTACTTTCTATAGGAGATGAGTCTTGGGGCAAGAGAAGAGAGGTCAATTCAGGACCAGAAAAAAGAGTGAAAGTGCACATGGGCCAGATTAAGCCAGTGAGAAACTAGGGCTGAGCAGATGGGCCTGTGAGAGGTGATGACCTGTTAGGAAGTTCTCACTGATAGAATTGCCAGAAGTGAGGCTGGAATAATGTGCTGAGCCCTGGAATGCGGGATTCAGATCTGTCCCTGAAGGCTGTGGGAGAAATGGCAGTTTCTAGGGTAGTGGAGTGACTTATGACGTGCCCCCCACCCCCACTCTTTCTCAGGTGCAGACGCGTAGTGCTGATGAGCCCATGACTACCTTTGTCTTATGCAATGAATGCGGCAACCGCTGGAAGGTCTGTATGTCTGGATCTCTCTCTGTGTGTCTCTGTCTCTCTTTCTCTCCCATGGATGCTTCCCATGAAAGGAGCAATATAACCACAGCCCAGAAGGGGCCGCCTGTATGGGGCGGGGCTTGCCAGTGTGGTTGTGCAAAGCTGGAGATAGTGGCGACTGGTGGGGAGGTGGGAAGAGTGCACGGGCGTGTTTTCATTTTGGAGGGCACCTAGCTGGGGTGACAGCTGCAGCCCACATTCGATCACTGACAGGCAAGTTCATCATCTGAGCACAGACAGAATGAGCCTCCTGAGATCCAGTGAGGGAAGGAAAAACAATGGTGCTCTGCATTCGGGTCACACTTCTTTGCAAAGTGCTTTCACAGATGCCATTTCCTTTGAATCACCAGGATGTCACAGCCAGACCTGAGAGAAAGGCTGAGCCCTGGCAGTGGAGCAGTATACACACACACACACACACACACACACACACACACACACACACACTCTGCAGGTCATTTTCCATTCCTAAGATAGTTCTGGAAGTGTTCCATTCTCCAAGACTGTCATCCTGACTCCATCAACTCCCACAAAGGCAGGACTCGTGATTTTCAGGCATGGGAGCTAAGCCAAGACTCCTACCTTCCAACCTTATCTTCTAAAAGAAGTGAGAGCCGTCTCACGGTTACTGTTACTCTTAGCACCATCTGATTTCTTAGGCCTAGGTGACTGCTTGCCCCAGGCAGGCTTCTGGGTTCCAGAAATTCTCAGGTACTTAGTAATGAGCCCAGAACTGGAAGTCAAGAGTCGGGATGTCAGGTCGTCACTCTGCCCTACTCGCAATGTGACCCTGAGCAAAAGGCTGATGATAACTCATGCCTTTTCCCCATGGTTGATGTGAAGATTACTATATTTGAACATAATTTTTGCCAACAACTATAAGAAATGTTCCTGTAAGATATTACTGTTGAAAAGAAAAAAGAGCTACCCTAATACTTAACCAGCATAAAGTCACAGTTTGTAAGCTCTGTAAGACCTAATGCTCCAAATTCTTCCTTTCTTTCTATCTTTTTTGCCTTTTGGGCCACACCTGGCAATGCTCAGGGGTTAATCCTGGCCCTGTACTCTGGAGTTACTTCTGATGATGCTTGGGGGACCATATGGGATGTGGGAGATCAAACCCGGTTGACCGCGTGCAAGGTAAATGCCCTACCCAGTGTTCTATCACTCTGGCCCCAGTGCTTCAAATTCTTGATTGACTTTCCTACAGTCTTACTAAGGATTTCAAGAACCACAGCCTCTCAGATCTGCTCCATGTTTAAAGGAAAAGCCAGATGGTTAGATGCTTTCCGTGTTCACTTATTGAGTACTTAGAGATGGGGCCAGTGCTTCAGAGTAATGTTTCTCAACCAATAGCCATAAAGCAGCCTGTGAGCTTCCAGGGTATTCCAAAGAGCCACAGGTGAAAAAAAATATAGTGGGAGCACAGCATGAGACTAGGGGCTAACTGGTAGGACAGGACACCCACAGGAAGGAGATTACAGTTGAAAGAAGGTTCAGAAATACTCGCTTAGAACATCAGGCTCAAACTAAGCTTTTACCACTTACAAAGTAACTTAGATAAGTGACCCGAACTCTCTAAGATGGGATTTCCTCATTTCTAAAATGGGACATTGATTTCCAGCTCCAAAGCTATTCCAAGGATTAGAGAAGATAGTTCATATGAAGCATTAACAGGGCCTCTGATAATGCTCATATGGCATCTTTGCTAAATTGGGGGGGAAAAACTCTCCTGCTCCCAGGTAGACGCACTTTTACACCAGGGGATAGAGTTTGGCAAACAACGCATGGCTGGGTGTATATGTTAGTTTAGTGCCAGGGATATGGCTCGGTGGGAAAGCACTCACCTTGCATATAGAAAACCTGACTTCAATTCCTGGAACACACACACACACACACACACACACACACACACATACACACACACATACACACACACAGAGCAATTATACATGCTTATACTTCTAGACCCAGAATAAGTGCTTAGTAAGTAGTAGCTCTCTTTCTCCTTACTGCTGGAAAAAGGACATTCTGTTTCAGATCCAGCTCTTCTTCCCTCATTTATATTAAATTAAATACAGAGGCAGGGTCCGCTGTAGAGACTATCTGACATTTTCAGTTGGCCTCATTGCCCTCCAGGAACCCTAAAATCTAAGTGAGCCCTTAGTAATACAGTGATAGTTTTACCATGACTTAAAAACCCACCATGGGCCTAATGTCAAATTTGATTTTCTTTCCCAAGAACCTTCTCCCACTGACCAGCCTTGTACAGGTGAGTGATGTGTCATTCAAGAGCGCACAGCTAAGTGAAAGTAGGCAGCACCTGGCTGGTCTGTGGGGCTCCAGACCCCACCTTCTGTGTTTTTTTTCTCCACCCCACACCCCCACCTCTTCAGTGCTTTAGAGTTGGAAGAAGGTTCAGAAATACTGGTAACAGTAACACAGAGAAAGCTCTGAAATGTTGTTGCCCTTTTGGTTTTACAGTTCTGCTGATAGGACTGCCAGCCAGAATTTCAGCGCACATGAGGAGGAAGAATAAAGGAGGAAATACTAAGCCATCCTAACTGGAGAAACAAAATAAAATTTAAAATGAAGAAAACGGCTGAACTCTGAATGGGGTAGGAGTAATTGGAGGGAGAATTCTTTTGAGAATGAACTATCAGTTGTTAATGACAAATGGCTAACAGGGAAGCTAATTGGGGCAGACTGCTAATGTCTGAGTTGACATTACAGGGGCATGGAGACCAGGACCTCCTGGTCTTTATTTGTTTGTTTATTTTTGGTTTAGGGGCCACACCTAGTTATGCTTAGGAGTTACTCCTGGCAGTGCACGGGAGACCACTGGGATGCTGAGGATAGAAGCCAGGTCACTCACCTGCAAGGCAAGCACCCTCCCCACTGTACTATCTCTCTGGCTCCGGAGGTACTCTCTTTCACAGTCGCTGGCAGATATTTGCTTTGATCCCTTCTCTTACACTGCAACCTCTCAGAGTTGTTTTTTTTTTTTCTGAACCAAAACATATCAGACTGACACAGATTTCACCCCATGCCTCCCCAGAGGCATATGTGTGGAACAGTAGATGTTTGATTTGGCTTCAGCAGGTGGGACTTTCATGCCATGTGGCAAAATTTCTTTCCTATCTCTCATCTCTTTCCAAACTCTCGGCTGTTCTCTGCTGGCTGGCTTCAGAGGTCTTTGAGGAGTTCAGACCTGGTCCCTTGGAACAGGCATGGACTGCTATAAGCTCTAGTTTTCTGGGGAAAGAGAACAGTGGTACCTGCTGAAGTTCAGGGCCTTGGGAGGCCTTGATTGTTAAAACATGCCCAGGCCTCGACATTGAAGTCCTTACAGCTCCATCTCTGGCACAGACTTCAGAGGAAGTCTGCCAGGCACAAGAGGCCTTGGGTGACTCTCCAGTGGTGAGTCTCATTGGAGATTAACCGTCACGGAATGGCATGACTAGCTTTGGTTTTTTGTTTTGTTTTTGGGTCACACATGGTGGTACTTGGGCTTACTGCTGACTGTGCTCAGGGATCACTCCTGGCAGGACTTGGGGGACCAATTGTGGGAATCAAACCCAAGTAGACTTTGTGCAAGGATAGTGCCTTAGCTGCCTTATCCTCTGAGCTTTCTCTATTTCTGGCCCGTGGATAGATTTTTAAGCTGATCGGAATCTTAGGCAAAGCTGGAATCTACTGGAAACTTTTGGAGCATGTCTGGAGGGTCTCTCTGGTTCTTTGTTCCTGACCGAGTCTCTAAGACTCAGTTTCACAAAAAGTCTGACATGATAAGAGCTTGAACAAGTCACTTAACCTCACAAAGCCATAGCCTTACTGGTCAAGATTGGGAGTGGCCCTAGTGCCTATTTAATGGGGTGATTGTTCAGAGGCTGCTGTGTTTCCATCTGCTTTGGTTCACCCTGAGGGAAACTTTTAGGGTAAATTCAGACACAGACTCCTAATACACTCTGGGCATTTCCTGTGGAACTTGCTATTGCCTTCCTCCTTCCACCTGCCAAGTGCTGCAATCCTGTGGATATGGCCAGTGAAAACAGACAATTGGCACCATCTTCAGTTTTTTTTTTCACCAGACAGATCTGAAAGGCTAGGGACTGAGAAGAGAGCACAGGGATTAGGGCATATTCCTTGCACACAGCCAATCCCACTTCCATACCCAGCACTTGGTGGGACCCTGAAGGCATCCAAGTACCACCAGAGCAGATCTAGTGTTCCCCAGCACCAAAGGGCCCACATAGCACCACCTCTTGGGTCCTAGAACCGAATTTCAGGCTCAGCAGGCCAAGTATTTCCAGGAGTGGTCCCATGACCACTGCTTAGGATACCTCCCCCCAAAAGGATAGAAGTTCCTCTCAAAGAAGATATAAAACACACAGCTCATAAGTGGCAGAACCAGGAGCAAAACGCAATCCTCTGCTTCTTGTCATTGTGCTGGATGCTATGAGAGATTCAGAACTATGCGCAATGCTCATCCCCTCACTTCCATGAATTCCAAACCTGGCAAGGATAAAAAGTATAGGCACAGATTTTCACATCACACAGGACGTGATCAATGCTTCATCTGCAGTACAAATGTAACACCCTGTTGTTAGATATCCAGGTGCTTCTTAAAATTAAGATTGATGGGAATTCCCTGGGAGTTGTGTTAAAATACAGATTCTTGGGGCTGGAGCAATAGCACAGCGGGTAGGGCGTCTGCCTTGCACGCGGCTGACCCGGGTTCGATTTCCAGCATCCCATATGGTCCCCTGAGCACCGCCAGGGTAATTCCTGAGCGCAGAGCCAGGAGTAACCCCTGTGCATTTCCAGGTATGACCCAAAAAGCAAAATAAATAAATAAATAAAATACAGATTCTTGGGGCTGAAGCGATAGCACAGCAGGTAGGACATTTGCCTTGTACGCGGCTGACCCGGGTTCAATTCCCAGCATCCCATATGGTCCTCCGAGCACTGCCAGGAGTGATTCCTGAGTGCAGAGCCAGGAGTAACCCCTGAGCATTGCTGGGTGTGACCCCCCCACAAAAAATAAAATACAGATTCTTGTCTAGTGGATCTGGGATGAGACCTGAGATTTTGTATTTCTAACAAGCTCTTGGCTGCTGGTCCACAGGCCATGCTTTTGAGTATGAAATATTTAAACAGCCAGAGAGGGGTTGAAATGATAGTACAGCATGTAGGGCACTTGACTTGCACATGGCTGACCTGGGTTCAATTCCCAGCATCCCATATGGTCCCCCTAACACTTCTAGGATTATTTCTGAGTGCAGAGTCAGAAATGACTCCTGAGCATTGTTGAGTGTGGGCCCCCTAGAAAAGAAAAAAAACAGTCAGATAATTTGATAATTCTCTGTATTACTATCTTCCTCCCCATCCAAAGGTCGAGAAACCATAGCAACCACTGTCATATAATGCCAATAAATGTTTGGGATTTTATACAGGTAGCACCCTAAGGCAATTTCAGTCTAAGTATCCATTGTGTTCCCAGTGACACAGGGACTCACTCACAGCATAGGAAAAATTGCAAAACTGAATCTCCACCTTCAATAACCTTACTGTTTACAAAGGAGATGAGTCAGATTAAACAGCAAAAGAACAAGTCGGCTCCAGTCCACACATCTCCGCATCTACATTCACAAAAGGACACAGATTGTATTCATTACCAGGCAGAAATACCCTCCCAGCTGTTCTTCTTGGGTCATCTCTGAGCCCACTCCAATTCCTGCTATCCCTAGGCCCTCTAGAACAGGCATTCATAATAGCAAATCTGATCATGTTACTGCCCTTCCCTTCATCATCTCCATTTAAAATCTCTCATTTCTCCCCTTACTCTTAGCAGAGCCTATAGGGCCTTCAGGGTTGGCCACGGCCTCACCCCTGTACTTTGTGCCCCAGCCTCATTGACTGAGCCATGCTCTTCCTTGTCATATAGTCTTTACACATAGTGTTAGCTAAAATGTGGTTTGACTCTATCTCCTTTGTTTTCAGGGGTTTTTTTTTTGCTTTTTTTTTTTTGAGGGGGGATCATACCCGGCGATGCGATGCTCAGGGGTTACTCCTGGCTCTGCACTTAGGAATTACTCCTCAGGTGCTCCCTGGCCCCATATGGGATGCTGGGGATCAAACCCAGGTCAGCCACATACAGGCAAATGCCCTACCCATTGTAGTATTACTCCAGTCCCCTCCTCCCCCTCTGTATTAAAGATGCAAAGGGTGAGTGGCAAGAGACTATTCAGTGACCCAGGAAGGCTTCCGGGGAGAGGTGATTGTTATCTTACAAGAGGAAAAAGACAAGGTTACATGAGTTCAGAGACAGGTAACATGCTTGAGATGGAGGAGGGGTCTTCCGGAATCTTATGGTCAAAAAACCTTGAAAACAAAAGTACAGGCGGCTGGAGTGATGGTACAGCAGGTAGGGTGCTTGTCTTGCAATTGGTCAACATGGATTTGATCCTGGATGCCCCCTGAGCCCCACCAGGAGTAGCCCTTAAATGCAGATTCAGGAGTAAGTAAGCCCTGAGCACTGCTGCGTGTGGCTCTCAAACAAAACAAAAATAAAATCCACAAAAGCACATTAAAAAACCCATGACCAATTATGAAGACATGTCCAAAGGTAACAGGAACCTAAAATACTGTCTCATATGGAAATTCCTAGTGGTCTTATCTTAACTATCAAATTTCTCTCTTTTTTTAGAATTTTAATTCTTTTAAATTTAATTACAAAAATTTTAATTGAATCATAGTGAAATACATTACAAAGATGTTCATAATTGTGTTTCAGTCCAACACCTGTCCCTCACCAGTGTATATTTCTTGCCACAAATGTTCCAAGTTTCCCTCAAGCCCCTTCTACCCCCCCCCCCCCACCTTTTATGGCAGGCACAGGGATATACCTGATAATCTTTTAGTATCTATGCTGCAAACTATATTGCCCAAAAGGAAAGAAAGAGAGAGAGGGAGAGAGCAAGGGCAGCGGGGAGTATAAAATCTCTTTCTTAAGCCCTGAGTTTTTTGTAGAATCAGGGATTACTCCTGGCTCTACACTCAGGGATCATGCCTGGCAAGCACAGGGAACCATATGTGGTGCCTGGTATCAAACCTGGCTTGGCCATGTACAAGGCAAACACCCTACTCACTGTATTAACTCTCCAGCTCCAAGGTTTTTTTTTTTTTTTTTTTAACTCAAAACTGAAAAAGTGCCTTGATGGACACCTCCTCCAAGCATTCCTCTGGTTCTTTCAGTGCAACCTGAAAATTAAGCTCACATTGCCTCTTAAGTTCTCTCTTCTGTCTTTTCTACTTGTCAAACATTTCATTACTTAGAACCATCTTTGACCCTTCCCCTAACCATCTTCACTTTACCAGCTACTAATTCTCTAGTCTCTCCCTCATCTCACCCTTTTCTCAATTGCTGTCAAGATTAACAATGTCTTTCAGGTTTTCTTTTCCCTAGGACAGAGAAGGCCTTCCTCTGGTCTCCTAATTCAAAACACTTCCTACCATAGCTTCCCTGTGTGATTCTGAATATCACCCCTCCCCCATCCGCACACCTGCAAATTGACTTAAGAGGATTTCCACAAGCTAGCAAATAAAATTAGACATTT